TGAAAATCCTATTTAATCTCTTAAAACAGCTGCATCAAAACAACATCACAGGCCAGTGTACAAATCATTAAGTGTCATATCATTCACTAAATGTAACTTTATCATATTCGAGCAAAAATATACAAGAAATAAGTAAGCGTGACCAGAGAAAGTTTTCTTTAAACATAGCGGACGTTTTCTCTAAGTGCAAAGGGCGTTTTCTCTAACGCGGCGGCCGTTTCCGCTAATTGACCAGCGGCCGTTTTCCCGGGCTGACGTTTTCTCCAGTTCCCGCCATAACTCTGTACAAAATGAATTTACGATACCAATTTTCGAACTAATTTGAGATCAGGAAGGACGGACGGACGGACGGACGGACAGACGACCTCCGTTCCTATACCCCCCTCCCCACTTGGTCATTAAGTGGTACACCTTTGAAACATCTTTTCTTAACGCTCATACGTCTCTGCATGTTTCTGTGGTTGTCCGGGAGTCTATTATTGTAATCCAGTTGATGTTATGACAAATGTAAATGACAAAATAAGTGATGTGCTTCTTCATACTGCTGGTGAAGTGTTCGGATTTATTAAAAAGTGTAAGAGAAAATCAACATCACACAAGCGCTCTGGTTTGGTATACAGTGTAAAATCGCCCGTGGAATAAAGGTGATCCACCAAACCTCGACAATTACAGACCTATCACCTTGCTGAGCTGATTTGGCAAACTTTTTACAGCAGTTTAAAATAACTATTTGCAAACATTCATCGAAACCAACTCTACACTGTCGGAAACTCAGGCAGGTTTCAGCAAGGAAAAAGAAATACATTTGTGCGTTTTTAGATTTTCAAAAAGCGGTTGATACAGTTTTGCGATCAGGACTTTGGCAAAATCTATCCCACAATAATTTGTTTGGAAAATGTTTAAGGTTATTTATAGTATGTACCAGAATATGAAATCATGAGTTTCCTGTAATGGTAATTTAATAAGTTTCCTTTATGTAAATCTGGAGTAAGGCAAGGAGAAATCCTGTCTGCTGTTTTGTTTGCAATATTTTTAAATGGTCTCACAAGTCGAGAAGCACCCATTATCAAATTTCGGGGAGTGTCCATCTAACATAACCGTTGATAGCTAAAGTGGTGCATATTTACCTAGGCCTAGATAAAAGCATATAGCTCTATGGTGCACTGTTTTCACGCATAAATGTACCGTCGTACACCCATACAGATGACCCGTAGTCCAAAATTGACCAGACCATTGTGTCAAATAGTTTGCTGAATACATTAAAGGACATGACTCCGAGGGATTTAAATTTGGAAATCAAGAGTTCAAGTGCTCTACTAGCTGATTAAGTTGCTGACTTCGCCATGTTGCTGTAATCTGGATGCTGTGTTAATAAAACTCCCAGGTAATTGTAGCAGTTTCTTTTCTCAGCTCCGTCTAACTACACTTAAAAACTGTTTGTGTTCTCGTGCTAGATTACCCTCTGAAATGGACCTCTTTAGATAATAATAATTTATCTTGATTTATCACCATCTTGTTTTTGAGGCACCAATTTGAGTTTGAATTTTAGCTGGCGAGGGCTGTGTGCAGTACTGATGATGATGTTGGAGATTTAACGAGCGCTTCCGGAGGTGCCGATTTCGAACTCGGATATAGTACAGGGTGCCGTTGTACAAAACAACATTACCGCTACGACTGTCGTAAGTCTATGTTAAGATATGGGCGTTACGATCTCCTCTGCGCCAAGATCACTTTGTACAACGACATTTGCCACAGCTCCGATGTCCTTAAATGAGACGCGCGGACGTCAGTGAAGACAACCTCCCCTTGCTAGCCGCGAGAATAGTAACAGAATTTCTTGAATAGGAAAAACACGTATAGCAACTGAACTACCAACTGAACCCATATTGGAGGTATCAAAATAAGGGCTGAACATATTCTACCAAAAGGTACCATGAAACATTTACAATCAGATGAGAGATACATATCAGCTAAGAGAGAGGCACAGACAATCCCCATATGGATACCTACTACTTGTGTAAATGTTCTATCCTCAAATTTGACGAAGATATTACCAGTCAAATATCATATCTTGAAAGACACCAAGGTACAGGCTGAAAAATGCATCCACGTTTGAGAAGTCAACAAAAGAACTTGACAGGGGTGAGACGTTTGAGAAGTCAACAAAAGAACTTGACAGGGGTGAGCGAAACTGCAAAAATGAGCAAACTGAGTAACGAACTGTGATTAAGTACCTGCATAAAATGCCATGTCACCAAAGGAAAAACTCAAATGTAAAAACGCACACTTGGGCATGACTCATGTTCAAGTGTTCTAATGGGCTTCTGAATGAAGCAAGATGGAATAATCACACAAGTGGCAGTGGCTGCATCCGCGTATTGCGGCTTTAATCGCTCCGCCATGTACCTGACCCTCTTCTCGTAAACTGAGCAACGTCATTCGCCGACGAGGTACGATGACACACAACCATCTAAGTCACTGGGCCTGACAACGCGACCCATTTAGTCACTTTTTACAAAAGATTGCTGGGGACTTTTGTAATTACGCAGAGACCACACGGGGAGGATCAGAAGCGCTGCCACATGACAGCCACTTCAGATGGCATTTTGAAACCACATCGACATTTTATTACGTCAGTAGCTATAGATGAATTAGATGTTTGTATGACCGTGGTGGCATGACAGAAATATAAACATTGGAAATTCAATTTATTTGACAATTCATTTGAGAACACATAATAATAGTCCATTTGTATGGCGCTTTTACATGCTAAATGTCATGCTCCAAGCACAAACGGGATTTGGTTCAGTGTTCATTCTGTTTTGATTCTCTTCTCCCTGGAGAGTACACAAACAAAGCAGCCAGTAGTTACCATTCACATTACCATCCCATTCTACTGGGTACCCACTTTCTGCTTGGAGGAAAGTCACTTTCCCAAGGAGATAAGCTTTAGAAATTCACAGGAGCCAAGCTGCCGAACACATGTGTCGTAATATAAACTAAACTAGTTAAAGTAGTGGTATTCATGAATGGAAAGATGAGACACACTACAGTGGCCACTGTGTTGATGGCGAATATGTTTACACGTTTCATTTATTCCCCAATTGTAATGATGTAAGATTTCGAGCCTGACAGCAGCACAAGTCGTTTCCAGCGATAGGTTTGCGTGTTTCATTTATTCCCCAATTGTAATGATGTAAGACTTCGAGTAAAAGGCAAAATAGACAAATATTGTAATGGCAAAATAGGCAAAATAGGCAAAAATTATATGAATAGGTCACTGAAAATCAGTGATGATGCATTTTATTCACGAACATAGACGCGATGTTTTTGCTGTCGACGTGAATCGCGGCACTGGTTTGTAAGTGGAATCCTTTAGGCTTAGAAATGTCGCTGTACGTCAGTGTTTCGTTTTGCTATTCTTATGTTTATTAGTGAATCAGATTATGTTGGTAATAACTTCATTAATATTCCATTTGCCTGTCAGTGAGTAACCTACGTGTATGACGCTATTCATACATTAGCCTACAGATAGGTCCCCTTGGAGACCAACGGATTGTGGGTTATATATTTATAATTTTGTAATTTGAAGTTTACACCATATACGGCTTTTCCATTGGACGAGATGTCGGTCACATGACCGCGAAACTGACGTTCATAAGTGTATGAACGACACAATTTGACGTTCATACGTTTTTTACGAAACCGTGTTCTTGAAATGACGTTAACACTGACGAACTACTTCCACACGCCTGGGGAAATCCTGGGTATTCCCCAGCACGAATAAATACAGAAGCGTTGTTTCTCATCATTTAGACCCTTTTTTCTTCCACGTTTAGAAAACATTGGGATGAGCTAGAGAGTATCAGCTCTGACATCCCAACAGTTTGGCCCTCACTCTATGAAGGTGCATACAGTCCAATGAACATACACAAAGTGAAAATCATTTCTTAAAAAGATCTAAACGTTCTTTGTGGATGGTAAACAATAGTTGACAGATTTAGTCAACATGCGTATAGTAGACCCCATGCACGGAAAGAGCAGTTAGGGTCTTTAAGGGTCAATAAAGGATTACAGCGTGGACATTACAGCCCCTGTATTCGCAGGTGAAGGACACGCATGGTGCGCCATCTGCAGGGAAAACCTGTCTGGCCAGTTTATGGCGCTGAACATGAACTGCAGATTATCTTTAAATGGCATTTTAGAAGCTCCAGTACCAATTAAGACAAAACTGACTTATGGATGTCAAGTTCTATATTATTACAGACGCTCGTACCTTATCCAGAAAGGGACAAAAGTATGATCATGACTTGTTACGAATTTGGACGGAAACGTAGCTTTGAAGTAAAATAGAAGTTGAAATCAGTCAGTCAGTCAGTTTCAGTATTTTAGTAAAGGCTATGCTCTTACCAACAATCAGGTGTGGTGAAATGGGCTTTAACGTCGTGTCCAAGATTATTGCACTTGTATAGCGACGTGCATGCAAGTATGATTATGTGTATGTGTGTGTTGCTGCTTGTACCAGTTCGGACTAATGCCGATTTCATAGTGCTAGCCCACTGAGATATCATGCCACAGTTTAATATGCATATATCACTCAGACACAGTATACTGACTCTGAGCCGACCAGTCCTTGTTTTGCCCGCTAATGCCGAGCGCAGGGTAACAAAAAGTAGTATCACTTAAAGTCTGTTGGTATGACGCAGCCGGGGATCGTACCCCGGACCTTCCGCTCTCGGGGCGGACGGTCTCCCACTAGACCACGGAGGCGGTCTACCTACAATCAAAGTGTACATCTGATGCATTACTTTGTGAATATGTCAGCGACGTGACTTACAAGTAATCGAAACTGAATATCATTAATTAGGATGCTCGGCGGCTAACAGATAGTTTCAATTTGTTCCAAATGTTATGCACTAGACGATATGTGAAACCCATTTCTGGTGTCCGCCGCCGTGGGTTTTCTAGAATATTGTTAAAAGCTATGTACATAGAACTATTCACACAACTGGTCTCATGACATTGGCTAGTGCCCGGTTGCCTGTTGCAATTTAGTTTTAAAAACTTCATTCTTAAACATGTCATATTACAAGATGCACGTTATACTACTGGTTGTACAGAAAGGTCGAATTTTGGGAAATGAAGATCATGGTACGTTCTCATTGCAGTTAAACGCAACGTAGATTCAACATCTATTGTCACAACGAAGGAAGGATGTCCGAGCAGCTTCACCCATGGGATTATGCTGCAGTGGGCGGGTACTTCGCCCTGGTGTTAGGGGTGGGAATATGGGTAGGTATTTAATATTCAGACGGTTATTGTATCTATCAAATCTTAAATATTTCTTAATTTGAATTGCAGAGATATTACGTGTCGCTGCTCTCGATCTATCGGTAGGTAAGGATCAATAACGTACGCAGTAAAAACGAAGAAATAGAGGGATTATTAACACCACTTCAGCTTTGACCAGGGTGATCGTGTGTCATTGACACTATGATGGCATGGGTCGTTGTTCATGCTTTTGACCACCTGTTTTTCGGGTCCAGACTGGATTACAGACATGTACTGTCTCTTATAACAATTTCCTGAGAGGTGGATATTGTGTTCTTTTATCGATTTCTGTTCCTGTATGTATTATTCATGACAAAAGTGGCGTTTCAATTTTTTTTGTATAATTGTGTCTTACATGATTAGTGTTATTTATTTTCATTTTTGATTGACAAATCTTTCTCTTCTTACAGGCCAGTCTACGACGTGGTAAAGACAGTGCAGAGGGCTACTTTCTGGCCGGGAAACATATGACGTGGCTACCGGTTTGTTATTTTTAGTTTCGTTTAAAGACATGTTTGAGTCTAAAATTATCATCTACGTAGATAATACTTTCATCTACGTAGATGATGCTTCTTTCATTTACGAAGACAATACGTTCATCTACGTATGTGATATTATAATCGTGCGTATCGTTACCTCAACAGTAATTTGTCTTGTGAAGTTGCGACCCGAGTTGGATACTAGTTTATACAAAACAAATATATGTGGCAACTTAATTAAATAATTGGGAGCATGTTGGTCGTTTATTATATTTTCGCCTTTTCCGTATTTTTACGCTAAACTGCGATCATTTCAAATGGTCAAACTTTCTGCTAAAATTAAAACACAAACTGTAGAAGTGTACCTTTAGTGATTTATAGGATGATTACGAGTATTGGTTTGATATAGTTTTTTCATAGTTTGAATGATTGTCACCCCTTCATATTCACGCTTTACCTCTGAAACCTATAAATCATAAGAATCTCCGTCTTTAACCATTTTATCGTTGATTTTTTTATTTCAGAAGTTATCTATAACTGACCCGATTAATCGAAAAATATATTGTTACAAAAGTCGATAATTCGACAGAAGATGAAAATAATAATATCATATGCCTAGATGAAAGTATCTTCCACGTAAATGTGAATAGTATCATCAACGTCGATGAAAGTATTATCTACGTCGATGAAAGTATCATCAACGTGGACGATATAGTGTTCAGATTATGGCACGAGTACGCTTCCATACCTATTGCCTTGAGGGTGTCATTGAATAGTGAAACGATAATCCGGAAACCCCTCCTTCCGGAGGAAAGAGTGAGTGAGTATCTGTCTTTCTTATTTTCAACCAAACGCAATTTTAGAATTAGTTAGTATCAGTGTTTGAAAATATGCACACATGTTAATCACAGTGACTGTTGGAAGCACACAGTAAGTGTGAAAAATATCATGCCGTCATGAGGAATTCGTTTTCCGAGCTAAGCGGGTCTGAGTTATCCTCCTTAGATTATGACGTAATTGATGCGAATTTAACTGGTTCCCTGTCTTTTATTTTTCCCAAAGGAATATATTTTTGGACCCACGATACGGTATTCCTGACCTTTTCGCTTATCACACTTGGCAACAGCTTCCTGGAATGTCATTTGTCGACGTTGTAAATCTCCATTATTTGAATGGTTCTGGTTAACACTTTCGCATCCTCATCACGCCCGCATCCTCATCACGCCCGCCTCCGCAATGTGTTGGATATAGAGCGTATGTCCATAGAGCGGGAGGTCGGTAGTTCAATCCCCTGGCATAGGGCGTTTTACCTTGTCCAGCGCTCCGCATTTAGGTAATACAACAAGGACTGGTCGACTCGGAGTCAATATAATGTCTCTGAGTGGGGTTTACACTTTCAACAGCGTCATAGTATCTCAGTGTGCTAGCACCATAAAACGGGCATAACACACACATGTTCAGGCAAATCGCTATACCCATGCAATAATCTTGATCGCGACGTTAATCTCCATTTCAAATCACCATCTCATCAACATAGCTTCTCACAGCGACATTGCAGCTGTATCGGGGAACGAGTGGCAGACGCTGGGGCAAAGCTTTGCCGGGACAATGCGACTCTCTTGTACTTTTGTTTTTAAACATCAGTGGGGCCAATTAACCTGTTTTATTGCATATCCCATCATTGTCGTAGGAGTCGACAAACTTGCATCGGATGGTCAGGCTCTGATGATTTCACTGAGGGGATTGCGTGTTATTGTTGTGGCGTTAATCGTTCTTTCAGTCTGTTTCTTCTGCTCCATGCGCGATTATTTACAGACCACTGTGAAAAAGCAGAAGTATGGAAAACTTTGGCCTTGAAGAGCATTCACTTATTTCAGTCTTCCGTGTGTCGTTTTCTGTACTGATGTGGACCGCCTCCTGGTATAGTGGTAGAGCGACCGCCCGGATAGCGTAATTCTGGCCGCGTCATACCAAAAGACGTTAAAAGATGGTACTTGATGTTACCCTGTCTGGCGCTGCGCATAAAGGGGGCTTAAACAAGGACTGGTCGGCTCAGATTCAGTATACTGTGTATATTCATGTTAAACTCATGTATCTCAGTGGGCTAGCAATGTAAATCGGCATCAGTCCGGACTAGTACAAGCACACACACACACACACACACACACACACACACACACACACACACACACACACACACACACACACACACACACACTATATATATATATATATATATATTAAGTGCAATAATCTTGGACGCGACGTTAAACCCCATTTCAACTCACCTCACCTGTTCTGATGTGATTCATATATCGTATCCGCAAATTAAGGACAAATATTTTCTTATTTACGACAAGCAACACAAAAATACTCACAGTATAATGATACCCGGTAAAGACAAATTGGTTATCTGATCACAAGGGATAGTGCATTTTCGTTGAGGATTCAAGCTAAATTATAGTTAGCACACTTTCATAGTCACTTTTATAGGCTTGTCAGATTGTGGGGTGAATTAATTTGTTTCCATAAAATAACGTGTCATATTATATATTCTGTTACTATAGCGATAAACATACAGTGATTTATCGCTGTTGTAGTTAAAACAAGAATGATAGCTGTTACTCACAATTCAAGGACACAATAGTTTCTCGTTTTCAGCGTCAGATTTCGCGAAAACCTTGTATCATCTGTTCACCATTTGCTAGTGATTTATAAACAACAGGTCATGATATACATGTAGTTGTAATCGTACAATAGACTCTGCTTCAACGGAGATTTATTATGATTATGAAAATTGTTTTGTCGCTTTCATTTGGTTTCAGCCATCTGATGTTTTGTTTTCCTGTTATTTATGCAGGTAGGAGCATCTTTGTTCGCGAGCAACGTTGGTGCGCCGATGTTCATTGGGTTAGCTGGAGCCGGGGCTGCATCCGGGTACTCAGTTGTGCTTTATGAATGGACAGTAAGTATGAAGAGGCAGAACAGAAGCCCGATGCAGCGGATACCTTTGCACTTCCACACATACATTTGTTCTGTTGCATGATGACCACCTCCGTGGTCTAGTGGTAGAGCGTCCGCCCAGAGAGCGAAAGGTCCGTGGTTAAATCCTCGGTCGCGTCATATCATCAGACGTTAAAAAGATGGTACTTGTTGTTACCCTGTCTGGCGCTCGCCATTCAGGGCCTAAAACAAGGACTGGTCGGCTCGGAGTCGTACTGTATCTGAGATGGGTATTCATGTGAAACTGCAGCATGGTATCTCAGTGGGCTAGCACTGTAAATCGGCATACGTTCGTACTAGTATAAGCAGCCAAATACACACACGTGCATGCAGGTCGCTATATCGCTATAAGTGCAAATCTAGGATGCGACGTTAAACCTCACCTGTTGCATTATGTTGCATATGTTTCCGACACCATGGTTGGTAAAGTATTCGCCACATGCCGACGAATTTTATTATCCCCCAGTCTAGCTATTGCAACAATACAGTCACAGTCTACTTACTCATTCCTATTACCGATAAATCTATTCACTACTATATCATCCGTTTTGCGACTTTACATTCTCAAGTATTATCAGTGTAATGGAATATATCGGCAAATATATCAACAGTAAGTAGCACTTAGTACTACAGTAGTAGTAGTAGTACAATAATAATCTTGACGAAGTTATGGACCAAAAGAGTCATCTGTCTTGAGTGTCTTTTGTTTAATGTGGCACAGAAGAAAAAATGAAAATTCATAATTGTAATTCTGAATGTTTGAACACAAGTTGTATCTGATACTGTTAAGTGTCCATGTGTATCTAGTATCCAGGTCTCTCTATTCCCTTAAGCATTTTGACAATACAATAAGTAAAATTAATTAGAACAGCATCTCGTGTACAACCGTCGGTAGTGTTTCGAGAAAAAAAAGTTGAGTTGAGGTGCAAGAATCGTAACCACTTGTCTCCTTAAGGTTGTGTTGCCCGAAGCGTGTCCTGCAGCTGAACACAGTAGGACGTGGATAACACCAATCTGTTTCTTATATATTGTGTCTTCAAGTATAGCTTGAAAAGCCAATGGAATGTTTTGTCAGTGTGCGAGTATATTTCGGAATATAGGGCTCTTCAGTACATACCTTCAGATAGCCTTCAATTGCGGTTGTGGTTGAATGTGTTTTGCGTTTGTTACATCCTCAAAATGATTTAAACCTTATGTTTGTTATTTGTTATTTATGTATAATTACAAACATCCAACAAGGAACATAGGTCAATGCTCCCACACTGTGTCAACAGAAATCACTTGCACGAGTGACCTGAACCCAATTTCTTTTATATTCCCTACAGATTTAACCCCTTAATTATTCTGTCGATGTTTAATTACAAATAGTTACCGCCCTTGACATGTCACGATTCTTGCGTATGGGCGTTATGGTGGATGGAGTAGGCAAGGGGTTTTGTTAAAAGCTTTTTTGAACAGTGTTTCAGTAATGTTACAGTGTCACAGTTCAACCTTGTAGATATCAAATCGATAACGTTCCTGTTATTTAAAACATGACAAAAGAAGGTGCACTAAAAAGTTTAAATGTTTTTTTTTGCAGGCAACGTTCCTCCTCATTGCTCTTGGTTGGTTTTTCGTTCCAATTTTTGTCGCTAGTGGGGTAAGTTATGTTCTGCAAAGAAAAAAACTAAAAAATCAATTTCTTGTCACTTATTATGGTTCCTGTATGAATTATTACTTAATAATTATTTAATATGACAGAATAGTTACTGTAGATAATATTTCCTAATAGTAACTGGTTTAACGATGTTAAGTTGGATGTCACGAGAAAATGCATCCGCAGTGAACATGTAGATGAAGAATTGCAATGTCTTTGAACATTTATTGATGATTATAACTTATTTCCATCCTCTATAGGCCTACACTATGCCGGAATATCTGATGAAGCGATTCGGTGGAGTTCGTCTCAGGATCTGTCTCTCCATCCTTGGGCTGTTTCTGTATATCTTGACAAAGATATCGGTATGGAATTTAATTTATCATGAATTCAGTTTTCTCTGTGTCAGTTATAATGGTTAAATCTTAAATTTAAAAATCCTTCTAAGTTAAAAAATAAAATTGAAGTTCGAACTTACCATAAACCGTATACATATGGCAAATCATCACCAACAATGATCTCTTTTCTCGTTTACTTGCAGTTAATATGGTCATATTTTATGTTTTGTTTTGTTTTTAAATCAGGCTGAAATCTTCTGCGGGGCTCTATTCATGCAGCTACTTCTTGGCTGGAATCTCTACATATGCATCATAAGCTTACTGGCCGTTACAGCTGTCTATACAGTCATAGGTAAGCCAAATCACTTAAGATTATTTCAGTAGTATTGTGAGGCCACAGTTCCAAGATAAATTGCCCGACAACCTCGATCATCCACCGGAACGGAATAAATGAAACAGGCATGAGTAAAGAATAAGGAAAGACAATTTCATTTCAGCTGTTTATTAAATGAAAAGTTTTGTTAGACGTAACATTATTGACCTTTCGTTGAAATGGTCTGTGGAATGTACCATATGCCTTCGTACATTTCTTTTCAAAATGTGTGAAAGTCCTTAAAATGTTGCAGTTATTACAAAATATAATTGATACGTTTTCTAATTCTTGCTATGAATCAATAGTCTCACCTACATTTCTTGAAGATTATGCTTACATAAAGTTCACATTTCAATATAAACTGTACATATCTTACAACTAACAAACACATCCAAAATAATCAAGATCATTTGATGTATCAGACCTTGAATGTGTTTGTTCGAATTGTAATATTTGTGCTATCGAACATGAATACTATGTACTCAGTGTTTGGGACAAATACTCATAAATTCGTTGTAAATAGCTTGCAAATATACATTTATAGTATAAAGTTAAAACAACGCAATCACTTTAAAATACACACTTCAAAAAGGAAACGCACAGGTAGCATGTGGTTCAGTGAACCTGACTACACAAAAAATCCGGTATATAAATTAGATATTTGTCAAAACGCAGCTGTTGTCGATTTGCAATGTCTTAATATAAACGGCATTCTTTTCACACTTGTTCAAAAATGTCATGGAGAAAAACAGTAAAGCACATGCAAGTTATGGCATTCGTAACTCGTGGTTGTGGCTATAAAAAGGCAGCATTAGCCAATAATTTGTCATTCAATTGTCAACATTTTTCAAGTTCGAAACTGCCGAGACTCAGCGCTGCCGATCGGAACATCGCCATAGGACGTATCCACAGAGGGGAATCGCAGTCTTCTGTTGTACGCCACGCCACTTCAACGTCCATCACAGCACCATTTGCCGCCTTTGTGACCGATACACACAGTCCAATGCAACTGCAGACCGTCCGAGAACCGGCCGACCAAGAGTTACCATCCCTGCACAGGATCGCTACATTCGATTGTTCCACCTTCGTCATCGCAATGCCACAGCTACGGAGACTGCAGGACGCATCCCTGGTTTGAGGAGGATATCGGACCAGACTGTCAGAAACCATCTTCGCGAGGCTGGAATCCGACCCAGAAGACCAGTTATCGTCCCTGTTTTGCAACAGATCAATCGACAGCGACGCTTGCGTTGGTGCCATACCTTGCAGCCTTGGTATTTGAGAAACTGGAGACGAGTGTGGTTTAGCGATGAATCACGATTTCTTCTTCGCTGGCTAGATGGGAGCGTTTTGTCCCTCATTGTGTACGTGAATTCGACAATTTCGGTGGCGGTAGTGTCATGGTGTTGGGGGCCATATCTAACATCGTTACATGAATCAAATTCTTCAACCACACCTACTTCCAATCATTGACCGCCAGAGGGAGCTGTTTCAACAGGACAACGATCCAACGCACACAGCTCGTGCATTAATAATGCCAACATCAACGCCTTGCTTTGGCCTTCGAGATCTCAAGATCTCAACCCAAACGTACACCTCTGGGATGAACTCGATCGATGTGTACGTCAACGTAAGACCACGCCGCAGACACTCCTACAACTGGCTAACGCGTTACAAGCAGAATGGCGCAGAATTCCGCAGGACAGAGTTCGTACACTTATCCAGTGCCGAGGAGATGCAGAGCCGTGATTGCTGCCCGGAAGGTCAGACGAGATACTGAGTTCAGCGCAAACTTGTGGCCTTATGTGACATGACAATGAACAGTTTGCAATGCCTTTGTACAACGACAACATGTAACTATCTAGCTCCAAACTTTCATATTTGTATCTATGATATTAAATTAAATATATCGACCTTATTGGGTACAATAAATTTGCTAAAAATCTGCCTGTGCCTTTAATTTTCTTAAGAGTATATGTTCTTCAAGAAATAAAAGGAAAATACAATACAACATGTTGCGCTTTTCTTGATGCATATGTTTACAATGTAACATTAATACTTTGTAACACAAACTATATTACTGTATAAACATTTCCTTGTTTTACTTTGCAAGAACATCGATAGTTTCCCGGATTTGTATTAGAATGGTAGATCTTAATATAACCGACAAAAAAACATTTCCATAATCTCTGCTAAAAGCAAAGTCCATTGTTCGTTTCCGACGATTAGCACATCATGAGCATGAGGCTATGAACCACGATCAAATATTGATGATACCAGGTGATCGCGAAACATAAAAAAACACTCCCATAATAGGCATTTTACGTATGCTTTAATGTAATTCAAAGTTTCTTAACACTGGAATATGTTGTCAATCATATCTACTTTTGGTCAAACTGACTCTTATAATGAATCTACACCTCTTATTCGCGAACACACACTCAGAACCAATCAAAATTATCACATATTCACTTGAAATCAAATTTGGTGATTGCACATTTGTGGGTGTCACGACAACGGGTAGAATCATGACACCAGAGCTTACATATCACGTTCAAGAGAAACGCTTTCTTATAAGAATACCATCTGATTTTCATCACATCGGCATTGTAGTATAAGTAGTATAAATACTGACGTTTATTGCACCTTCTACACACAGTGTTCTATCAGAAACACGAGGCCCCAATCCAAGCGTCTCCGGACGCATCTCTGAGAATCGTTTTGATAATAATTACCTATTTGTATTTATAACACGTAATTATTTATCAAGTCTCATCACATATATTTGTTTCATAAATGTAAATGGCTTCACGAACCACGTAAACATGTGAAGGATTTCTCTTTGCAGGTGGTCTTGTTGCAGTTATGTACACGGACACACTACAAACAGGGATAATCTTAATCGGGGCATGCATTCTGACATTTAGAAGTACGTTGTACATGAGTATGACAGATAGTGAGTGAGTGAGTTAGTGAGTATTTGCCTTTTGCAATATTCTTGCAATATCACGGCGGATGACACCAGAAACGGGCTACACACATTGTAGCCATGTGGGGAATCGAACCATGGACTTCGGCGGGGAGCTTTAACCACAAGGCTACCCCACCATCCCTTTAAGTAAAAAATATCATATAATGTATTAGTAAGTGAGATTGATTTTTACACTGCTTTGAACAATATTCCATTTCTGTCGTGACACCAAAATAATGCTTTGGGACTTCAATCCGAAAAAACACCAATACAAATTATATGGAATCAACTTTGATAATCTTAGTTGTATCGTTTACTTATAATGAAACCATTATCTTGAGACTGTATGACGTCTTTTGCATGTGTAATTAGTTACTTCATAAACACGTGTTTTAGGCTTCCAGGAAATCCACGGCTTCGATGGCTTAGAAGAAGGGTTTGTGACCGCAGTCTCCAATATAACAAAGGCTAATGTCACCCACTACAGCTGTGGTCTTCCCCCGAAGGACTCTTTGCACATATGGAGAGATCCCGTGCATGGGGATATACCATGGCCAGGTGCTGTCTTTGGTCTTTTAATCATAGCAACGTGGGTGTGGTGCACTGATCAGGTAAGTCAGGATACATGGAGGATCAACCACGGTGTTCTGTTGTTATCGAAAAATCTACACACGAGTGATTCATCTGTCACGATTAGAACGAGGCTTGGCCGAGTGGCAGATTTATCACGAGTTAACTAATAAAAGCTGATGGGAGTAACGTTTTGAGAATTAGTAATGTGATTTGATGTTTGTTAATGGTTTTGGATTACTCGGCCCATAACTTTATTTGCATTCGTCTCGACGTGACTATCATTCTCAATGCGTAACACTAAATAGGCCCACCTTTTTAGTGTATCATGTAAATACGTTATTCGTTTATTTGTCCGCTAGAAACAAATGTTGTAAACCCAATTAAGAGGAAATTAAATATTGTCTTAAATATTGTGAAATATCGTTAACGAAAAACAAGGGCCCAAGGAACTGTCAGCAGGGTTGATCAGGCAAGATTCTATAAATACCAACTCAGGCAACTGATCAGCTGATTACTGCTAGGTAAATCATCTCAAATCCATCAATGGATTGTAATATTTTTTAACGAATTTTAAAACGAATTTCACAGTGAATAATTTAATAATATTATGTAAAATGATGATTACTTCATGTCATCTTTTGTTTTGTTTTTGTTTGTTCATGAACGTGTTGAGCACATGTGTTTTTATTATATAAAAAAGTAAAATTATTCAGTGGAATTTTTTTCTTTTTGAACATAATATTTAACAACATAACACAAAAAATGTTACTTAATGAGTTATCTAATTTCCCCATATTTGCGAATGACAAGAAACAATGTGAATTTGACAAGCACAATACTTTATTGTGTGTGAAACATAAATACATAGGATATATGTAAACAATAAATTATCATTTCAATAGTTATACAAATATTTGCATTTTAATACCCTTGTAATGTTACATTGTGATTTAACTGCAACAGTAACCTCCAAACTTTATTCTTTTCTTATTTTATCAGATTAGAAATTAAGACTTACTGATAATAGGTACTTTAAAATTAACATTACAATGTGTATACTAACCTGCGGTTGCACGAATCCGGACAGGACACTTTCTTCTTTATCTAGAGGGGCGGTCGGGTAGCCTAGTGGTTAAAGCGTTCGATCGTCACGCCGAAGACCCGGGTTCGATTCCCGACATGGGTACAATGTATGAAGCCCATTTCTGGTGTCCCCCTTCGTGATATTGCAGGAATATTGCTAAAGGCGGCGTAAAACCATACATACTTTTTATCTAGAACAACATCTATTTCATAAATTGAAAAACATATTTGGTACCTTATATGAAAAGCACTCGATATACATGGTGGTATCATGCTGCTCCACGAGTCAGTTAATAAGAATTAAAAAACATATCTGTATATATGTGTAAACAAGTAAGGATTACGTTAATTACCAATTGATTTTTTAAAACCTTTCAGCTCTCTGTGTCGTGATGGTGCATTATTTGCATGGTCAGCAGAAGTTTATAATTTTTGGTTTTAATCGGACTGACCTAGGGGTTTAATGTATGAGAGATAGTATACGTACGCTGTATCATTACATGTACCTACAGTTGATGGTGCAGCGAACTCTCGCTGCTAAGAACATCAGTCATGCTAAAGGTGGATCCCTGTTCGCCGGTGCCCTGAAGATATTACCCTTCTTCCTCTGGATCATTCCAGGGATGATTAGTCGGATCCTCTACCCAGGTACATGACGTTACAATGTGGAGAACCAGTGATAGTAACAATACTTAATGGACGCCAATGGAGCTAGCAAAACTTGTTCCTCAGGGTAATATTAGATCCATGTTGGGGCAACTAACGGCGTGGATTTATAAGTGTTCAAGAGATGAGAATAAATGGCAGTTCGTATGTACATTTTAACATTAAATCATAAGTCTCATAGTTTTGGTATATTCCCTGAAATTGCAAAAAAGTTTATCCTGGCTCTATTCACTCGAAGCATAAACTTGATAAAATGAATATTTCTTTTCAGATGAAATTGCATGTTCTTCGCCTGAGCGATGTTACGAAGTATGCCAGAACAAAGCTGGATGTACGAACGTCGCCTATCCCATCCTGGTGTTGAGGCTGTTACCTCAAGGTATGGACCCGTGAAGATTAGGGTTAGAATCTGTCTTCAGCAAACCATTCTTGTCGGAAGAGGCGACTAACGGGATCGGGTTGTCAGGCTTGCTGACTTGGTTTGATGCATGTCATCGTAGCCCAATTGCGTGGATCGATGCTGATGATAGCAATCGCTGTGTTGTCTGGCCCAGACTCGATTTTATCCATACAGCCGTCATATAGCTAGAATATTTCTGAGTGTGGCGTTAAAGAACAACAAGACTTAGTATACAAAACCTCAAGGTATGAATGATATATAAATGACACATAATGCACGATACGTAACGGTAGTAGGTTATTTATCCAGATGGCCAAAAGAAAAACATGAGCTATTACACTAAACGTTGTTTCAGGTACAAATATTGTTTTTCATACTTTCTGTATCATTTTGTAACCTAGTTACGGCCACCCCAACGTGACTGACGCTTTCCTGTCTTGCTGCTGTTGTAGCTTTAACGGTAATATCCATCCGCATTCTACTCATAATTATCATCTTGCAGGACTCCGAGGTCTGATGCTTGCTGCTCTGCTTGCTGCCCTCATGAGCTCCCTGACCTCCATCTTCAACAGTGCAAGTAGCATGTTCACTATTGACATCTGGCCTCGGATCAGAAAGAAACCATCGGAAAATGAACTCATGATAGTTGGACGAGTAGCAGTGCTCGCCTGTACAGTAATAGGCATACTGTGGTTACCAATCTTGCAGCAAGCCCAAGGAGGGCAACTGTGGGGGTACTTGCAATCTGTAACTGCCTACATTGCCCCTCCTTGGACAACGCTGTTTATGTTTGCTCTTCTGTGGAAACGGACATCTGAACAGGTTAGCAAATAGTTTCCTTCTTATCTGACTTCTGAACAGGTGGAGTAATTATTGGAGACAATCCACAGAACAATTTCCTGAAACAGGGTACCTGAAACAGGGTTCTGCAAATAGACCTATGATTACTTTGGATAGAGGTTCTACGTAGGAGTATAGGAATATAGTAGGAGGAAATTCAACGTATAGTCACATAATCTGTAACACGCGTTTCATTGTAGGGAGCATTCTGGGGTTTGATCGCGGGGCTGGTTGTTGGAATAATCCGCATGGTCGTGGACTTCACATACCCAGCCCCTTACTGTGGCAGTGGAGAGGAAGACACTCGCCCAGGAGTTTTGAAGCATGTACATTTCCTCTACTTCGCCATGATCTCGGCTGTTGTCACCACTGTCACCATCGTCCTTGTCAGTCTCTGCACCGAGCCCAGATCAGAAGCTCAGGTAGGGCTGGTGTCAGCGAGTGAGTTTCACGCAAATATTCCAACAATATTACGGAGGGGATAAGGCAGGGCAGAAGGATTATAGAAAGACACATTACAATTTCACAACGTCAGTCACCAATTCAAGTCTGGGATTCAAGCCAACGATCCGTGGATCATTGTTCGACTAAGGGTTGACACTCTGCACAACGAATTCGGGCGCCAAAGTTGACTGCGGCACTGTTATAATTAATTAATCAACTGACTTACTGTATTTACATATAAATAAAATGAAATCAAATCTTTTTTTCTGTTTGAAAGAAGGAGGCACGCCCCATGCCCCCCAAAATGTGTTCTCAGGGCAAACAAAAAACTAAAAGAGGATCGACGATTAGATATATCGTTTTAAATTGTATTAAAAAATTTACGATTATCAGCGATTTGAAAGAACAACACTATCACATTATGTCCTTTGATCTGAAGCTCCACATCTCGCTGAACAGATGTGTTACCCTCAGTCGTGTCATTTCCATCCTTAGTCGGTCTGTTTAGGCTTTTTCTGACACTTAAAACACAACATCTCATTATTGTACTAGTTTAAACTTCATTGGGCTTTTCTGGATACTGAAGTTACACCATTTGTGTCGTGTTAAAAAAGCGTTTTCACGTTTTAAGGTCATGTGTTTGTTTATGTATTCCAATCTTCTGATGTCGCTCGAAGGCTTTCTTTAAGATGACATTTCTGTACCACTGTTCAAAACAGCGTTTAACGCAACTCCCTTTTTGAATTACCAGTATATAGTATAAACATCTAATACACAAGGAAGTGGCGAGTGAGCCAATTGGAACGCTGATGTAAGAACGATAAATCACACTGTATTAAGCACACGCACGCATGTCTTTCAAAATGCAAAAGATCAACGCCAGAGAATAACAGTCTCGAATATGTACCGGAACAGATTCCATAGGGCGTAAAAGCCAACTATATATTAGTAATAAAAAGCATATGAATGGATCACTGATCATGAAAATCAGTGATGACACCAGGTGTTTGCGAAACACGGGAAAATAGATATTAGAGCACGCATAGGACTCTCATCAGAAAAAGAGTTACGATAAAATTGATTCTCTACATATTTTTTTGTTTTCTGCATGAAGCTTGGCCGCACCACTTGGTGGACACATCACCATGCTGATCCTGACTTGGAAATAGAGGACGACAAGGATGACGTCGATAGAGAAATGGGAGAGGAAATTGGAGAGGAGAAGGCTGACGAAAAAATAGCCGTCGAGGCTGAAGTCTGTCCTTTCGATGTTAATGTGCAGTCACACAACCACAATAGAAAAGGTAAAGGCCATCAAAATTTACCACTACTGCTCTACGTATTATTAACTATGTATTATTTTTTAATTTAAAGCTTTGTTCTTTACAAGGGTTCTTTCAAACTTTTGTCGGATTTAAAATTGCGATAATTATTTACAAGACATTTACGAAAATATACTCCAAGCCATTTATCTGGTAATTGAAATATGCGCAGATCAATGTTCATGATGTCAATCACTGGATTGTCCGATCCAGACTCGAGTATTTACATACGGCCATCATATAACTGGAGTATTGCTGATTGCAGCGTTAAACAACAAACCAACCAACAACCTTAAATTGTATATAGTAATTGTATATAATATCTTTTAGGGAGAAATGAGGCAATATGCAAAAGCATCGCTATGTGGATGTGCGGAATGACCCAGAGGAAGAGCCTTACACTTTCCAGAAGAGAACGAATCGCCATAAAGAAGCGGTTCACCAGTTTGGAAGAACATGAGACAGCAAGCAAAGCATTGAATGCTTGCGCCATAGGACTGTCATTGATAACCTTCTTTCTTCTGGGTTATTTTTCTTAAAAGATTTCGAGTGTCTATTTGAACATCAGACTCCATACTGTTATCGATAGGATGCAGCATCTCATTGTCCCTCATGAAACAGTTTTGTTAATTTGTGTTTTATTTATACAGCTTGTAGTATGTTTATGTGGTTATTCTTCCGCTTTTTGTATGTTTTATGTTGATTTATATATATATTTCTTACTGATACCTTTTTCTACAATTTTACTTCGAATATTGTTGTAACAGAAACACTGCATTGTAACCATATTATTTCAAAATGCGACAATATTTTAGGAAGAAATTATTTTCTTTCAACATGAACTCAATTGATTCATTCGAAGGTGGATTTTGTAATTTGATGCCTCTGATTATATATCTATATATCTATGCCTGTTATTAAAAACCATGACGAAAAATAGTTATTACGTGTGCATAATTATTATATGTGGTTATTTTAACTCCTTTTGGAAAGTTTTCACTGCGTACCACGGGTATTACGTATCTTTAAGAACATTTGTATAACATGTCCATTAAAATTATAAATGATCATTACTCTACTTCACAAATGATTAAATTGCGAATCACTCAAAATTAGTAATGGTTATTAAAACCCTCTACAAATATTTATTTTGAATACCACTTTTAAATGTTTATTATGCGTCATAAAGAACACTGTTATGACGTATTTAATATCTGTATATGGATATTATTATTATGGTTATTACGGTTTGTTTTTTTTCATAGCGAATCTCTCATATTATTAATGATTATTTAACACCTTTACGAATATTTACATTGTGTAACACTTTCAATTTTAAAATAAGCAATGCGCACATTCAGGAACATTTTCATTTCGTAATTTGGGACGCACTCGGCGCGTATCACTCTTTGCAGAAATTACGGCTCTAAATAAATATCCCCAGAAGTCGTTGCCTTTCGTGATTTTTTGACAGTATGTATTAACGCTCTGTAGAATGTCATGGACAAACAACGATTTCGTTACTAAGATCCTATTACATAGATAACATTATTTGCAATCAAATTTGAAAGAAAATATAAAAGGCGACTTAGCTTGTCGTGAGAGGCGACCAACGGGGTCAGGTGGTCAGACTTGCTGACTTGGTTGCCACATGTCATCGTATCCAAATGCCAATTACTGGGTTGTCTGGACCAGACTCGATTATTTACCCACGACCGTCTTTCAGCTGGAATATTGCTGAGTGCGGTGTTAAACAACAAACAGCAAACAAACAAACAAGGCCGTGGGGGCCGTGCCAATTTACATTTGCCAGAGGAATACACACAGTACCGGAACTAGACTACCATTGCCGGACTTACATTTTTGTGGATGCCTCGATGGCTATCACGTTGTTTTTTTGTGTGCTGGAGATTAGGAGCCTCAGTTTGGGTTCGAATCCCGGATGGGACTCAACCCCGAACAAAAGGAAAAAAGTACTAGAATCTGTACTTCACTAATAATGTGTTATCCCACATGTAACATTTGGAACATATTTTAGCTGTTTAATAATCTTCCACACGTTAAAGTCCAATGATGCGCTACCATTTTACTACGACAGTCTACTCCACAACATCGGCCATTTTGCCCTAGAGGGTCACGCAACAAAAATAATATTCATGGCATCATGATGTTTATAAACTGAACCGGAAAAAAAACGTCACCCCAAGTTACAGTGCATTAAAAGTTGTCATTTAAATATCTGGGTATTTTTTTGTCAAAGTTTCTAAAATTTAACATTACCTTGACCGGAAAAATGAAATTTGATAAAAGAAACGCCAAAGCAGATGACAATAAAACCGATCGCCCATACGCATCACGGCAACGGCCATCCTAACCCGAGTTCATTGCAATTGAAATGCACATGCGTTTCCCCATTTCTTGCCCTAAAAAATCCACCCAGATCGGATAACATTCATTCGTTATTGAATTGCTACCACATGCCAAGATGGACAAGAAATCAGCGACACCAAGCCCTTGGACGATTGCAAGCTGGACAAACCGCCCGGCAAGTAGCCAATGCATTTCAAGTCCACGTAAGGACCATACACAGGCTCCAGCAACGGTACCAGACCACCAACACTACAGATGCCCGACCACGTAATGGATGACCAAGGGTCACCACCCGACGTCAGGATCGTCAGATTGTGCGACAGCATCTTCAAGACAGCTTTGTTACTGCTGCGGAAACAGACCATTGGGACACACCAAAGACACATTAGTGCAGGCACCGTGCGTCGGAACGTTATTCGGATGCTTGTGTTGTTGAGAGAGACTCGTTGGGTGGTCCGAGCATCATGCTGTGGGATGGAATTGGTCTTGCACAGAGGATCGGCCCTGTGGTCTTCCAGAACATCGGTCCAGGGGGAGGCAATGGTGTCACAGCAGTCGGAACACGGGGTAGAGTAGGTGTTCAGCAACCCATGCTTGCCGTAAAAGACGACTATGCTTGTCGTTAAAGGCGACTAACGGGATCGGGTGGTCAGGCTTACTGACTTGGTTGATGCATGTCATCGATTTCAATTGCGTGGATCGATGCACATGATATTAATCACTGGATTGTCTTGTCAAGACTCGATTATTTACAGACCGCCGTCATATAGCTGGAATATTGCTGAGTGCGGCGTTAAACAACAAACAAACAAACACAAAACAAAACCAAATCCAATATTTGAATATATATCTAATCAATTGCATCACTGCCCAACATGTGCTTTGATTGCTTTATAAAGTTGAACATTTATGTATACAATTCAAAAATAGGAATCATCCATTTCCTGCACGCTCTAGCCTTGATTGATCCGCTTTATGTTTTTGGTTTGGTTTGCTGTTCAACGCCTCACTCAGCAACATTCCAGCTATATTGCGGCGGGCTGTAAATAATCGAGTCGTGACCAGACAATCCAGTGACTGACATCGTGAGCATCGATCCACGCAATTGGAATACGATGGCATGCATCAACTAGTCAGCGAGCCTGACCACACGATCCCGTTAGTCGCCTGCTACGACATGCATACTCGCCTTTTACGGCAAGCATGGGTTGCTGATGACCTATTCCACCCCAGTTCTTCGCGGGTCCATTACTTACATTAGACACGTAATTTTATTCAACGGCAGTAGTCAACGACAGCATGGTATACAATATTATCTTTGTTATTGTATGCCACGGTGTCGTGAGGAATACATAGTTTCTCGTCATACGCTGACGTCTGCCGTTGAATATGAATAAGCGAAATATAAATTTCATGTGTCTCACTGCCTGATGTAGAACGTGGCGGGCCTGGTTGTTATAAACCGTGCGCATCAGTTTAACGTCAGTCGCATCCACTGAGTAAAGATAAACTGATCGCATACATTCAAACAACTCGAGGGATGCTAGGGCAGCTTAAAACCGGTGATTATTTGGCAGTGGCCGGATATTTTGTGCTTGTGCTGGGTGTAGGAATATGGGTAAGTACTGAATCTTTTTGACAATATTATTTATGGGTCAAGTTTAATTAATATTTTACTGAAAGAATTTCGGTGAGGAATTTCTAGAGAAATTTAATTGTACATGTTTCATGTGCACTGCCAGTAGGAAGGATTACTGTATGGGATTAAATACTTTTTCTGACTCTTAATGATATATTTTATTTAGCGCCATACACTTTTTCTAGATGTTGAGTCTGAAAGTACTGGTTATTGTATATTGATGAGGGATAGACATATCAAATTTATTTAGTGTCATGAGATTGTTCTATTATAAATCATGAATAATAGTACAAAATAACACTCACAACATATTGATTGAACGTTATCTCATCAACAGTAAACCTTTTTTCGATCACTTTTTTCTTTTTTTTCTTGGGAACAGGTAGGACATGTTATTTCAATAGTATATTACATGAGGATGGTCATTATGAGCGTGTAAAGTTAATCTATTGTGATACATATCAAATACATGTTGGATAGGCACATTTGTCGATACAGTAGGGTTATGCAAAGAGGCTTTGGCAAGACAACCAGAAAGTCATAAATTTATCGTATTCACATTTCGTATATGAGACATATGTTTGCGTATGATATAGGCTTAAGAGATATGTTTAGAGTTGGGTAATATTGGGGAGAGAGTCTGAACGTTTTTGTGAGTCGATAAATTGCTTTGTTGCAATGTAAATTTAAATAAGACGTCATTATGTATTTCTTTGAATCCAAATATATTATTATTCTTATCTTTATTCAGTTCTGTTCTCTATCTATTGCTGCCACAACATTGTTCCATGTGTACATTGAAAATGTAAATAGAGGATATTTTCAGTTTCAGTAGTGCAAAAAGAACAAAGCGAGGAAGTGATAAATTTATATTTGACAAATCTTTATTTGTTGTCAGAATTCTGTGAATAATACCGTATTGGACCATCTTAGCTTTGTGTTGTTTGTTGTTCTAAATGGTAAATAGTAGTAAATCCTCGAAGTGTCTCTCGGCATTTGTGTGTTATTATGTACTTCCCATTTTAATTGACTCCGTATTTTTTCTTTTAATGCATATTCGTTCAAAAAACGTGGCAAAGACTAGTTTACATCCCTCTTTCCACTTTATATAGAATTTTGAAATTTCATGGAATGAATGGTTGTTCAATTTTTTCTATCTAATGATACAGATTTTGAATCCATACATGTTTTTTATGGATCTAATAAGATCTGCCTGTTCTAAGAAATTTTATTTTAAACTATATTACGTGTAGAATGTACCGCCATCTTTTATCAGATAATTGCTGAATTTTATATTTTCGTTTATGCAGTGTTTGAATGTAATACGAAATTATTGGTTTATATCCAATCTGGATATTATCGTTTCCCAATGTATACTGTTTTGGTAAGTCTGCGTTATAGTTTGTTTGCCGTGACTTTATTTTAGACCATGTTCCATGGTCATCGGTCAAAAAATGATTTTTGATTTTAAGTAAGACATTTTTCTGAAGTATTTCGATCCCATTTCTGTTGGATGAAAGTCAACGAGTTTGCTTAGCTTTGTATTTTTGGTAAAGGTTCTTCGTATACAAGTTATCTTTTGAGCTTGTGTTAAGTGGTACCCTTAAGTCCTCCATCTTTATATGTTTCTCAATAACAGTGGTACGTTTTATCTTATCAGGTTTTCCCTTCCAAATATTTTTTTTTTTCAGATTAGTAATAGTGTCCATTCTGGCATTAGGAAGTATTGTAAAAAGGTGATTAAGAGATGGTAAAATGAGACTTTTGAGAACAGTAATTCTACCAAAAGGTGTAAGATGTCGTAGGGTCCACAGTGTCAGTCTCAGTGTTGAAGCTGTCGAAAGTTTATACAGCAATGACATGTGCGCTGTGAGATTAAATGGTTTGCTTTCACCTTGGTTTAATGTACCAAGGGGATTACAGCAAGGATGCCTTGTCTCGCTATTATTGTTCTCTATTTACATTAACGACCCAGCGGCCAATATGAAAAATCATGAATTGTGGTGTTGATATGAATGATTTAAATATTGGTATGATGCTATATGCAGATGGCATTTTATTACTGGCGCCGACGGAGGATAAACTGCAAAATATGTTAAGCGCTGTCACTAAATGGTCTCAAATGTGGAGACTTGCCTACCAACACAAATTGCTCCACACCCAACTTTTCAATTGGTGAAACGTTTTAATTAAGGATTGACTGTGTATTTTATTCGGTTCATTGAGGTATGAATCGAAAAACCGATGTGCAAACTGTATGATTCTTACAAAAGTTTGCACATCGGTTTTGATGTCGGTGGTTTTACTTATGCTAAATTGTATGAATCCTTGGTGCTACCATCTTGGGGTGGTATGAACATAAGAAGTTAAACACATTGCAAAATGTATACATGGTATGTGTGTGTAGGGTGTGTGTATATGTGTGTGTGTGTGTGTGGCGAGGGATGTGTGTGTGCGTGCGAGCGTGCGTGGGTGGGTGGATGGATGGATGGATGGATGTGTGTGTGTGTGTGTGTGTGTGTGTGGGGGGGGGGGGGGGTGTGCAAACCGATGTGATAACTTTTGTAAAAATCCGCTACATACCTCAATGAACCGAAAAAAATATACAGTCAATGCTTATAATTAAATTCGACAACGTAAAACATGTTTTATCTACAATAGTTTAACCCAAAACAGTTGCATATATCAAAACAGACAAAAATGACGACATTGATAAACATTCCAGGTGTAGGAATACATACAGTGGCGTGACATGAATAAGGTGATCGTTAAATTTATGCACATAACTTGACAAGCCTACACAGTCAGTAGCCAATCAACGGAGAGTGGGATTAAAACAATGTTCATTGGACCTGTCGAATAAGGCAAGAGGCGAAAAGAATTGCAACAGTCAGACTGTAACGAACCGGAAGAAATATGTCCGAGAGAAGGCGGCTGTTTCAAATAACATGGTCATTTAGTGACATTTACTGCGTGATTCATACATTACTTCACTGATTACGGTAAAACACAGTTGGAGAAATGCTAGTTATAAATGAAACCCGAAGACATGAAAGTTGAACCGGGGCGAGCGGGAAAAAAACAGGCGAGCGAGCCTGCACGTTTGCTGTTTCATTCATTCTCGGCCTTCGGTTTCAAAGGGTAGTTTGGACAATGAATATGCATAAAAGTCGCTAAATGTCCTGTGCATGACGATACACGTGAGCAGAAAGGGAATTCCCTCGACTGTAATATTGGGACTCCCCGACATTCCGCAGTAATATAATTAGTGCGCCGCGGTGGTCGTGGCTTAAGTTTTTACATTCGTTGGGAAATGAATGCAATAACACGTGACCAATTCAGCTAATCAGAATGCAGGAATTTCCATGAACACAACCAAAATCTAATTATAGTACAGTAACATTTGGAAAACATCTTTTATGGCTCAACGAACATATAGACTTTAAGTTCACAATTAATGAACTAGCTAAATCGGCAAGTCGAGCTTTTGGTGTTTTTCGTACAAAATGTTTTGATGTCGGTGGTTTTACTTATGCTAAATTGTTTGAATCCTTGGTGCTACCATCTTGGAGTGGTATGAACATAACAAGTTAAACAAGTGTGTGTGTGTGTGGGGGGGGGGGGGGGGGGGGGGGGGTGTGCGTGCGAGCGTGCGTGGGTGGGTGGATGGATGGATGAATGGATGTGTGTGTGTGTGTGTGGAGGGGGAGGGGGGGGGGGGGGCTGGTAGTTGGGGGGTGGAAGGGTAAACATTTGCATAGAGTGTATATGGTTCTGACAGTATGCATGTTCGTAAGTGTGCCTGTGTATGTGTCTTCGTGTTTATGTATGATTGCGCGTGTGACTGTATATATAATTTGGCGTGTGTGTGTGTGTGTGTGTGTGTGTGTGTGTGTGTGTGTGTGTGTGTGTGCGTGCGTGCGTGCGTGTGCGTGTGCATCAGCATGTACATGTGTGTATGTATGTTCAACAAATTTCATAACCTAACTTAAAACCTTGTGTTGGTATATGTCTCAATTCATCTTATCCGGATCATGACCTTATACATATGATCTTATACCTAGTGTCTCGTAGGCCATACCTGGTCGGATGTTATATTTTATTGTTTTTTACGTGTTTTAGTGATACTATAATACACATTATTCTCTATCTCTTTTTCATATTCTATCAATTTGTTTAAGTTTCTCTTTATAGTTCCGTTCAAATATTTTTGCTTTGTTGTGTTGAAAATGAATCCCGAGTAGAATAGAAGGTCGTTGCGACCAGTCCAAATTTAGTCATTTACCATACTGTGTGTCTGAATATTCGAGCCAATCCATATTATTATATTATTTCGATGTTGATTTTCTGTCCAGAAAAAGGTGCGTGTATTATCAGAATGTCTATAGTTGCCTGAAAGCATGATTCTGATCCATCAAGTGTGATGGCTGTATCGTCTGCAAATTGTATCAAGAGATATTCTGTATTGAGCAGTTTTATGCTTTTTACTTTTTTCATTTTCTCGCAGCATATTTTCAAGAAATTCTGCACATATAACAACTATGTATGGCGAGAGTGGATCACCTTGTGGATCACACTATTGTAGAATCTTTGTCAATTTTTGATTGAAGGCCCCAAACTAAAGAAATCAAAGCAAATTTCCATTCAGCTGAATCAAAGGCTTTTAGAAGTCAGTCAATATAAGTATGCCTGGTATATTCTTGTATTTTGTATAATCCATAATGTCGTATATAAGTCTGGTGCATTCACACACCGATGTATCTTCCTTTCGTAAAACCTTTTTGATCGTCACTACAGTAGGAAGTATTTATTTAATTCGAGATGCTATTGCTGCTTATGCTATCTTATAAGAAATGTTCAGGAGGGATGTAGGTAGGACATTTTTTGTTTGCTCTCTTGATTTATCTTACTTAGGTTTACATGTTATAAGACCTTGCTTTTGACTGCTCGAAAGTTCACCTCTTCGGTAGGCACATTTTATAGAATTAATTAGGAATTTGTTAATACCTTTCCAAAACAATTTGAAGAATTCTTCCGTGAATCCGGATGGACCGGGACTTTTGTCATTTTTCAAACTTTTCAAAGCGTCAAGCACTTCTTCATATTGTAATTCTCCTTCAATCGAAGGCACTCATATCCAGTAATTAAATCCATTAATCTTAGGTTGACCACACAGGTGACATGCGTTTGTGAGATATAAGTTGTCACTCGCTCAGGTAGTCTTTTGTAAAAATGACATTAACGGGCACGTCTCCCCTGTTATTCGCGTGAATTGTTATGACGTTAAGAAGCAATTTGATCGTTTTGCGATCACACTTCCTCATTCAATACTAAAAGTGCCCTAATGGTAATTATGTTACGATCTTTTTGTGATTGAACAAGAATTATAACATTTTACAGGCGAGTATACGGAGAGGTACAAACAGCACGGAGAGCTACTTTCTGGCCGGGAAACATATGACGTGGCTACCGGTGGGTAATTACTTTTCTCTAGTACGTGCAGTGCGTTAATATTGAAACCACACACTGTAATAATAACAAATGATAAAAAAGCGATATGTGGATTTTCTACTTTCAGAAACGTGATTTCAATATATAGTTCCATTGTTTGGAAGTAGCGTTCGGAAAAGCACGTTTCAGTCAAAATGTGACATATCTTTTTTTTAGTTAGGGATGAATATCATGACTATATGTAGATTTTGGTATCATAACGTTTCACGCAAAACGTGACATGTTTTAAGTCAGTTTGAGGTGAAAATCATGACTACATGTTTACTTATGTATCATAGTGATGTGTTTTCGGACTGGCCAAATGGATTCATCAAGTTGTTTGACTTTGCGATTTGACAATTATGTGAGAGTTAGCTTGTCTGCATGAATATACCATATATATTTTATTTTTCCACCTGACAAACAACTTTACAGGTAGGAGCATCTTTGTTCGCAAGCAATGTTGGTGCCCCGATGTTCATTGGCTTAGCTGGAGCCGGGGCTGCATCCGGGTACTCAGTTGTGCTTTATGAATGGGCGGTAAGTATACATAGAATTATGTAGATGTTCATGAAATATTGTTTCAGTCATTTTATATAGGTCCATACTAAAGCCCGAGATATCCTCAAACTTATGGAGAGTGGAGCACCTATTGTTTAGTACCGAGTTGTGCACGCCATCAAGGCCTTCTTTTGTGGTGCAGCAGTGGGTCTTCCCTAGGAAGGGCTGTAATTCCTTCATCTGACGTTTCTTTGTGACATATGATGAGACAGCCTCTCCACAAACACCACGCAACCGTCCATATAATCATGGACCGCCTCCGTGGTCTAGTGGTAGAGCGTTCGCCCGGAGAGCGGAAGGTCCGGGGTTCGATCCCGACCGCGTCATACCAAAAGACGTTAAAAGATGGTACTTGTTGTTACCTTGTCTGGCGCTCGGCATTAAGAGGCTAAAACAAGGACTGGTCGGCTTGGAGTCAGTATACTGTGTCTGAGTGGGGTATTCATGTTAAACTGCGGCATGGTATTTCAGTGAGCTAGCACTATAAATCGGCATCAGTCCGGACAAGTACAAGCAGCCACACAAACACACACGGGTACATGCACGTCGCTATATAAGTGCAATAATCTTGGACGCGACCTTAAACCCCATTTCACCTCACCATATAATCACGCACGTGTGTGAGTGAGTGGGTGAGTAAGTGTGTGAGTGAGTGATTGTATGTGTATGTACCTTTTCGATGACCTCCCCAATACAAGAGTACTCTGTGCACTGTACGCGATAGAATGACAATTCACTACACACAGTGGGAGATAAGATCTAAATTTGTAAAATTAACATTTTGTCTTTTCATGGTTTACAAAGCGTGTGTGTGACTCAGCAGATATATGTCACACAAAAGCATAACAGCAACCTAGATATGCCAGGACCAAACCCTGATATCCCCTTGTGTAATTGAGTAATGGCATGTTTCGTCTTTTTTCAGGCAGTTTTCCTGCTGGTGGCTCTGGGTTGGTTTTTTGTGCCTGTGTTCGTCGCTAGTGGGGTAGGTTATGCACACATTGTACACTGGCGATTCCTGGCGTATCAATATATAATGACTACCATAAATATGTATCACAAACGAATGAAACATACATAAATTACACTATCGGTGACAGTAACCAAACTGTTTTCAAAAGATGTCATGTTAGACTTTTCCTAGCCTATCAATATACAATGACTACCATAAATATGTATCACAAACGAATGAAACATACATAATTTACACTATCAGTGACAGTAACCAAATTGTTTTCAAAAGATGTAATGATAGACTTTTCAGTCATTAATAAAATGATCGTCATCAGTTGATAATCATCCCTTAACGCGATGTTAATGTTAATAGATACTCAGATATATTTCCATCCATGTAGGCCTACACTATGCCGGAATATCTGATGAAGCGATTCGGTGGAGTTCGTCTCAGGATCTGCCTCTCCATCCTTTCACTGTTTCTGTATGTCTTGACGAAGATATCGGTATGGAATTTAATTTAACCACGAATTCAGTTCTATGTATGTCATTTATGATTGATTGGGGTAAAGCTACATGTTAAAGCGTTATCTCATCAGACCCAGATTAGGTTCCATAGGTGCAAATTCTGAATCACATTTGCGGTATCCAAAATTATGGTATTGCTTGGATTTTTCTTAAGGCAGACACGATTAGTGGATATCAAACTCACCTGTCATAATTAAAACCATGTGCAATAAAACTTGATAAAACAGAATACTTAACAAGTTCTGTTTTGCACAATGAAAAAATGTTCACGGACACATCGTTTGATAAGGCTGATATGATTGGTTGGTTGGTTGGTTTAACGCCGCACTCAAGCTATATGACGGCGGTCTGTAAATAATCGAGTCTGGACTAGACAATCCAGTGATTGAAATCATGAGCATCGACCCACGTGATTGGGATACGATGACATGCATCAACCAAGTCAGCGAGCCTGACTACCTTATCCCGTTAGTCGCCTTTTACGACAAACATAGTCGCCTTTTACGGCAAGCATGGGTTGCTGTAGACCTATTCTAACCCGGATCTTCACTGATCCGATGTGACCTTCATGGTGTCATCGCTGATCATGAACACATTACACCTGTGGTTATTTCGGGTCAGAGGGGGCAGGGGTGTCCCAGTCGTCTAAGGCACCGCGATTCGCTGTGCAGAGTTGCGTCTCTTGGGCACGCCAGAAACCTATGATTGTGGGTTCGAATCCCGGTTCGCCCCAATTATGTAGACCCGTGAAGATCCGGGGTAGAATAGGTCTTCAGCAACCCATGTGTCGTAATAGGCGACTAACGGGATCGGGTGGTCAGGCTCACTGCCTTGGTTGATGCATGTCATCGATCCCAATTGCGTGGATCGATGCTATTGATATCAATCACTGGATTGTCTGGTCCAGACTCGATTATTTACAGACCGCCGTCATATAGCTGGAATAATACTGAGTGCGGCGTTAAACAATAAACCAACCAACCCAATTATGTTTCTAGGTTTGTCAGCACCATACCCGTGCTCGTGGGTTTCACCGAAGTGGTAAACGTCTTAGACCTGCATCACTTTGGGCTTTCCTCCCACATTTAGCTGACACGCCGTGATATAACTGGAATAATGTTAAAAGCGGCGTTAAACCAAACTCACTCACTCATTCGGGTCAGAGTAAACTCGAATATCTTTGCCAATGATATCACTCACTGGTGTGGATACGTAGGTCCGACCGACTAGCTTACTGGCCGCCGTTATATTGCTGAGTGAGGCATCAAAAAACAAAATAGCAAGTTTACATGGTCTGTAATCATCTTGGCAGGCTGAAATCTACTGCGGGGCTCTATTCATGCAGCTACTTCTTGGCTGGAATCTCTACATATGCATCATAAGCATTCTGGCCGTTACAGCTGTCTATACAGTCATAGGTAAGACGATTTCATTTCAGCTGTCTGTTTAACTTATCCAGATCTTGGTATCCGTTGAGGGCCACCATGGATTGGATATCCTGAAGTATATCTGCTGACGTATACCCAGATGCGTTTCGGGGAAGTATTCGGTGGTATACGCCAGGAGGCTGGCAGACGGAACCCAATACAACGTATTACTTCTGGCATCGGCGTTATCACTTCTCTTTCTCTTTTCTTCCCGACATTTGCCTTGAATAGCGGCCATATTGATGATTCGGCATCAAAAGGTATTCAATCACCCACTCACAGCTCGATCGCCGCGAATAGCTGCAAAATTGCTGATGCGGCGTTAAGCAATATTCACTCACTCACTCACAGCTCGAAATGGCATGATAAAGAGTTCGCTCGTTGATAGTTAGACTACCTCATTTTTTCAAAACACACTAGATTTATCTCTGTTCTCCCATAACCACAAGAGCGCTTGGAACTCGTGCTGACAAATGGGCAAGTTTTCTCATAACGTGCCTCAAACGGGTCACAGGTACTTACAAATGTACCAAAACATACACTTAAAAATAATTAGTTATTATATATTCTTAACTAGTTCAAAAGAATTAGTTTTTGAAAACAAATTGTTGAAAGAACCCCCCAAAATAAACATTTAATGTCATTACAACCTTTTGCAGATTTGCACTGCTGAGTGAGTGAGTGAGTGAGTGAGTGAGTGAGTGAGTTGGGTTTAACGCCGCTTTTAACAGTATTCCAGTTATATCGCGGCGTGTCAGCTTTAATGTGGGAGGAAAGCCCGAAGTGATGCAAATCTCAGACGTTTACCACTTCGGTGAAACCCACGAGCACGGGTATGGCGCTGACAAACATTGAAACATAATTGGAGCGAACCGGGATTCGAACCCACAATCATAGGTTTCTGGCGTGCCCAAAGGATGCAACTCTGCACAGTGAATCGCGGCGCCTTAGACGACTGGGCCCCCCGCGCCCCCCTGCACTGCTTAGACCCAAACAAGGCATTTGTTGAAAATCCACAGAACAGAATGCGTGGGGGACAGGTTATAGAAATAGTGACATAGCTGAACTAGCTTTTTTACAAATAACTGATCAAATTACAATGTTATTTTGAAGTTCTATTCATGTACAAGTTGAAATAACTTCCAAGTAACAGTAATACATTATTCAGAATCTACCAGGAACTTCCACATAGCAGAACGAATTGACGAGCATCCGTTACCTTTCACTGTCCCTTAACAGTGTCAATGTAGTGTCTCCGTGTGAACATTGCAAATGACCTCATCTACAAGAAGATGATAGTATGCATTTGTGTTGTCACCATCTGACTCATAAACACATAACAGGTTTCTTCAACATGTATATGTAATGCACACTCGGGATCGCGATAAGGAAAGGAGATTCACACATTAAAATATTCGCAATCTCATGTTTCTGTTGAATGTATCCCAGTGAAATGGGTTTTAGGACGCTTAAGAAACATTCGTAGTCTTTTACTAATCACATTAACCCTAAAGCATCACGCTAATTTATAAAAGACAACTTTATCTTAAAAACAAGACATCATCTGTGTTTTTACAATGTCTAACGCCACACCACTCGTTTTGGCGCCAGTAATCGCGATAAACACAGCCCTCCGAAAACGATAAAACAAAGTTGATGAAAATGATTAAAATTAGACTAAATGTTACTTTTATTAATATTTAGTATAATGAGTTCAGCCGTAGTGGGTCACATAAAGAATATAGGCAAATTTCAGATGTAAAAACAATTTCCCATGTCTGATTTTGTCTTGGTGTTTCCCACAAACACATGCCACCCAAAATGAACATGTGGTTGTCAGGGAAAATGTCTTTGTTTGAGAGACTCCGCTGTACATTTTCTGGTATTATCACTGCAAACACGAAAACGTCGTTTTTTTTCGTATATGGTCATTGGACGGAAAACGACGTTATTTGGACGTTTTCAAACCATCGTTTTCCGTCCAAATAGCGTCGTTATTTGACATCGGAATTTACTTGGAGAGAACGATATTATCAAGCTCCCCCCTTTCTTGATTGACATTGTCAATCAAGCAACAGCGTCTACCGGTATTTCTACTTCTCAGATTTCATTGGTCAGTTCTCGCGTGTTAGATTACAGGCTACACTCGAAGCGCTTAGCGGAAGTACTGAAATCAATCGTTCTGCGCATGCGGATTACTTAATGCCTTGTCCGTTCTGTGCATGCGCGATTTCGCGTATTGTTTCCTTAATGTCACCACTATTTGACAATGATTTATAAACACAGTCTCGTGATAAGTTCGGAATCGTACAATTCCAAACTGGTGATGTCTATTCAGACTAATGCTTAGTGTCTAAAACTGTATAGTTTTGGAAGAAACAAGTAACTCCATTTAAATTGAAGAGGATCCCTAGTGATATGGGAGATTCCGAGATGAACCTATTCTATGGCTATCTAGGCTGCCACCCAAACCGATCCAAACGGGACCCGAAAGCTTATTTTAATTATGCTATATAGCCATATAGAAGTGGACCAGAATTATACATTGTATTCCGGCCGATTGTGTTCTTGCATTTACTTTTAAGTCAGGAAAAAAGACTTAAAAGGGGAGTTGTTGAGTTTAATTATTAAATGTTGCCTCTAATCTGGACGTACTACTCATTGTTCTATTTATGTCATCCTATATAATAATATATATAGATCAGATATACATTAACGCATGCTACTCTCATTATTTGTGCAGTGACAATATAACAATTATACACGTTTATTGGTAACTTTTATCAGTTGTGCTCTTCATTTAAATAACTTTGTTTTCACATTAACATGTAGCAATACCCGACAATCCTGTCATACATAATTATGGGGCAGTTGTCAATCTTCTACTGACTTGCACGCACGCACGCACGCACGCACTCACAACGGACCTAACTAACCTGGACAGGAAAATTAATACTGCTGATAGCCTCTGGTCAACTCAGTCGCGCTACCGCAGAATGTTCGTCCAACTCTGCAGGGGGCATTCTCAGTTGCTTCAAACGCGCTGAAATGTTTTCGCCTTGCATCCAAGTCAAAGACCAACGTTGTCCGGTTTGATGACACGCAATCTACCAGGTAGCACATTGTGTACACCCTATCCCCATTTAAATCTTCACTGTGGGTATTCCTGGTGACGAAAAGGCCCCATGTACCTGGGAATCTCATGAATACATTCATGCGCGGCATTCTCTACGTTAAGAAGATCATAGTTAACATGCTTATCCAACTCGAACTACCATCCCGCACAAGATGAATGTTTTATGTAAATTCCAACAGGCTCGTGGGCACACACACACACACACACACACACACACACACACACACACACACACACACACACACACACACACGCACTGAAATGTTTTCGCCTTGCATCCAAGATGGTGGACAAGTGAAACAAGTGAAATCGTATGACATTTGGCTATTTTAGGTCGCTATCTCTTTTTTGATTACCCAGTAAAGTCAATTCATAGTTACACGGTTGTGAAGAAGCATACAACTTTATACCACTTAACGTCTTTCATCTCATTCCAATAGAGCTACTCGTGCTCATATAAAGTTGTAGTTATTATGTCACGGTTTTATTTCTTTAAAAATATATTATTCATCAATAACACTTCAGATGAACATTCAATTTCCGATACAAGTAAATTAATAAGTGTGTTTTACGCCACAATCAGTCAAAGACCAATGTGTCGGATTTGATGACACACAATCTACCAGGAAGCACATTGTGTACACCCTGTCCCCATTTAAGTTTCTAATGTGGGTATTCCTGATGATGAAAAGGTCCCATGTACCTGGGAATCTCATTAATACATTCATGCGCGGCATTCTCGACCTTAAGAAGATCATAGTTAACATGCTTATCCAACTCGAACTTCCAACCCGCTCAAGATGAATGTTTTATGTAATATCCAACAGGCCAACAGTTACACACACACACGCACGCACGCACTCACGCACGCACGCACGCACGCACGCACGCACACACACACATTTTGATTTACCATTTCCTGAATTGAGAAGACGTGCGTTACGAAGCTCCTCACAGTCGTCATCAATATCCGTAAATGTCTGTGATATTATTACCCATCCAAAGCCGAATATACATTTATTGTGCTTATGTGTATCACTTCGTAATGCCCTTCAAAGACTCAATCTAGCTTTGTTTTTGAATGTGGTGATATTTGCGTAGAATATAATATGGTCATGCCTATAAACATTTGGGTCTTTGTCTACATGAGCATTTAGACATAAATTTTATAGCTAAGGACATTGCTAAATCTGCAGGAATGCAGTACACGCCATAGTAAGCTGTGATCTTTATTCACACTTTTGATATCCGTAATGGAGATCTGTAACTGAAGTTTATCGTAATCTTCCGCAACTCCCACCTCCTGACCAGTTGAACTTCTGAGTGCATTCTGATGCCATTGTAATATTCCAGGCAGCCCTTCTTTCTGTGATGTTTTGACGGATCAAATCTATTGCGTTATAATACTCTCTGTTTGCTGATATTTAATATGTACATATTGTAAAATATTTACGATATTTTAAACATGTGTTTCGATGCATGCAGTGCAAAGGGAACATAAGTGCGGATGCACGAAGACGGTTGTAGTCATAGTAAAAGTGCGATGGATATAGGGGAATGGTAGGAGGGTGTATGTATGTAAGCACGAATACCGGTACATGAGGGCGGATATAGTTAAAGTTCGATTGATGTTGGGGAATGGTGGTAGGATGGATTATGTATGAAGGCATGCGCTTGGATCCATGATGGCTGACGTAGACATAATGAGATGGTTGTAGGGATATGGTGGGGAAAGAAGAATGCGATGATGTGTGTGCGTGCGTGCATGCGTGCATGCGTGCATGCGTTGTGATACGAGGGTTGGCGAACATGTTGTGAGATGATTGTGTAAGTAAGTTATGTGGTTGAGGATGTGGCAGGTATGAGTATTGATACCTGCAGACTTGGGGTTGGGGAACTTGGTGTGCCTGTACTGATGTCTTCTGTTTCCCTCACTTATAGTGTTTTCTTTTACTCAAAAAATGTTTTAAGCATTTTAATGACTGGAAATGGAGTGTCTCAAAGGTCATACTGGCCATTCTACATATCTACCCGAACTATGTAGCCATTTTTATGCTGTACAACTGCCTTTGTTCTGTAAATCTCACCAAGTTTCAGCTTTCGACTCTTCCTTTGTGGAATGAGGTTTCACATTTGTAAAATGATCTCTCTTATCTGTCTGTACCATCAACTTAAATGCCCTCACCCCCTGCAGTTTCCCCGTCCCATATTGCCAAGCAGCTCACCCACAAGGAGGAATACGGCCCTCCCTCATTCCAGCTTTTCTGTGCCTAGCACAATATGTTGTGAATACGTAGCCTTGCTGTGGCCCAACAGTTTGTAAAAATTTGGCAAACTTTGATATGTGAACAGCAAATATAATTCAGTTTTATTTCAACAAAAACGGGGAAAAATCGGATCCTACTTATTTTGTGGATACCATAACAATATAAATCAAACCAATAGATCGTTTGAGCTAGCTTGAATATAAAAAATAATTAGCAAATCGATAGTCATAATTCCCGCTGTTGGTCCCACGTGAAATGTTCTTCATGAAAACTGTAAATCATGAAATTAACGCAATAATAGGTCAGCACATTAATGCGAGTATAGAACCTTGGCCTAAAATGCGTCATGACATTTATGAAAGTAGCCTTGTAAAATAATCACTGTAGACTCACAGTTCAATAATGTAGTATTGGCTGATAGACGTTCGACCAAATAAAATCATTTGCTAACTTCAACTGTTCGTCTAATTTCCATTAATGTATGTTACATAGTTAAAATGTTCATGGGCTTCTTCACTGAATGTATAGTGTGGAGGACTAATTGGGATATTATTATGATGGTATTGCCATTATTATTCCTTCAGATTGTTAAAAAAAAGTTATTATGTTTTCAAACATAGAGAAAGAGGTATGGAGATTGTGGAGATTATTTTTTAGTATCGGAGTTGTTAACATAATTCTTAAAGATATTATGTTTTGTTTGTTTGTTGTTTAATGCCGCACTCAGCAACTTAAGGATATTACAACATACATGTACATACATTGAGGTTCAGTTGTATTTTTAAATTTGTATTATTTTGCAAATGTTACAGAGACCTGATAAGTGATATAATAATGTACAGTCGCTATTCTTAAAAGTAAGAATATGTTAGATTTATCAACCAGAAATATTGCACACCAAAGGATAATCATATTTCATGACATTATTCTACGTCGAAGTCAACGATATTTGTGTATGCTATTGCTACATGATTGGTTATGACACGTCATGATAAAGCAATGAGAAATTGACATTTGATGATAAAAGATAGCTACGCGATAAATCGCAAAGAACAAAGAAGGAAGCGATATTTATTTCACGATAAGACATTGTTCTATCATTCGAACATGCACTCGCAACTTGAAAACGTCGTAAATCTGACCTTATTTTTGAGAGATATGTGTCTAGTGAGTTGTTCCCAATAGATGTAGCTGGGGAAGGTAGATAAACGCAGTGCCCGAACAATCGCATCCGAAAGTGAGAGCAATATGACAATTGGTATTGGGAGAAAAGGTACAGATAATCGACGAGAAAATTGTGAGAATATGCGGGAAAGACCAAATTCAAACCCTCCTGTTCATAAAATGGATTTATCTGGCATGGCCGCGGTCGGATTCTATTCAAGGAGTTATCATTATTTAAGTACGGGTAAATATTTTAAAGCGTGTACTTTTTTCTGATGTGCTATCATTCTATTTTGAAATAATGACATAAATAGTTACCACTCATCTTTTAATGTTTTTCAAGGTTGGGTTAATCACAAACATATTTGAATGTATACAACAGCTATACTTACTTATCTTTATACTTAAAGGCATCAGGTTTGTCTGTCATACAGACCCCGAAACAAATATGTCCAATACAGCCCAATATTTGGCAAAATGAAGAAAGTCTCTTGGCTCCTTTTTATTATATTTTATAACTATTGTTTAACAACTGTTTTTTCTGTAAAATATGTAAGTTCATTTCAGACATTAGATGTTATTCTAGCATCAGGTCCACTGCATCAGTGTTGACATTTAAACGATATTTACATATATACAGAGGAAATGCTTTGCATTTATCTTTAAGGAAGAGTGTAGGACTTGCTTAATACATAATTATATATGTGGACATATATGCATGGACATTTGGATGAATATAGATGCCTCCTTATAGATAGTGATCGTAGATGATTGTAGAATGTGCATGAAGAAAATTGAATAATTATGTGAGTCATCGGGTTAATACCACGTTTAGCAATATTCAGCCATATTGCGATATTGGTTTTCAACATACAAGACGGACCATGAAATTATGACTCGAATTTGGACCTGGCTTTCTGGTGTGATGTAACACCCCATAATCTCCTGGAGAAATAGAGCTAAAAGCACGAATAAAGATAACGAGATGAAACTGATGTATACATCTGGACATATATTTACGTAGTAAAACTACGTTAATTCATCAATATTTATGTATTTTGCGCGAAAGGATATTGTAGGATCGACGCTGACATGCGCATATAACCTATGCACCAGTGCTGTAGTATTTAATTCATTTGTCTTTTGATATATATCGATAGGAACATGGAGAGTCTGTCTGAAGAAATATGGACATACATGGGATCTTTTGGATAGTTGTACTTCACGGTTAGACTAACGTTTAGTCTCTGAAAATATATTATTTTGATTTAAACGAGAAACTATATTAAAATTTAAAAGGAGCCCCAGTGGGATGGAAATTTCAGCCTGAACCTGTTTAACATCTAGGCTTGTTTCATTTGGGGCTATAAGCATTGCAGTAAGGCCTGGGCGGAAGGGAAAACCTGTTTGCACCTATCAGATACCAGTCACTACTTCAGAACAGGGACAGAGTCCGACTTTGTGGAAGACGACATTTTGGATTATCTTGAAGGGCGTGATAGACCATTTTGATTTACAGAGATACTCTCCTGACACTATTTTGAATAAGTTTGGTAAATGTTTGTTGAACCTTTGCTCTGTCTTAAATATTCATATTATGAATGGTCGTTGTTGTGGCAGTGACGTTGGTATTTGGGACTATACACTCATTAGTAGTACAGGGGCAAGCGTACATATGTTTGAACTCTGTAAAACATACGACATAGACACACGTTACGAGTCGCAACATTTCCCATTAACAATGGCTTTACGTACGTGTACGCTTCACTCAGTCATCGAGGGTTATGATGATATTAATTATGCAAGTACATTTAGATTTATGTGGAGAATTGATAAAGAAAAAATATTTCTTTGTAACTCAGCTTCAGACAAGTTTGTATCACTGGTTGAAAAAGCAGTAGATGCCGTATTCACAAATATTGATGAAAGTATCGAGTTTATTTGAGAGGCACTCTCCAATGCTGGGAACGAAATGAAGAAAGTGGTTCACGTGGACAAGAAAACACAACAACGGTTTGATTGGGAATATTAGTTACTAAAAAAGAGAGATGTACATGCCCTCAACATATTCAGAAGAGATAAAGATTTACAGTCGTTAAGGGAATATACAAGAATTAGAAACCCACGTGCAGGGAAAAGAAAAAACATTATTTGGAAGATAACATTAAGTCGTCGAAAGAATTTTGGACAATAAATCCACATTATGATTTTAAAAATAATATTGAAATTGATAAATGGTATGATTATTTCAAAAATATGTTTAGTGGTAATGGTGTTAGGGATGATACCTTCTTTGAATTATCAGATCATGTTACAAGTTATTTAGTATTATGTTTCACGTACGTTAACATAAATGTTATCACTCGCTTTGTTCGGATGGTGATAGAGTGGTTTCATTTTACCATATTGAGCAGTCGTAGTCGTAGTCAAGGTGCTTAATATCGTAAGGCGACCACATTTTTAGGTGGTCACACTGCGTGACTTGGTTAATTGCGTGTCCAGATTCGATATGGCCGACATCGTTAAGCTGAAATATTGAGTGCGACATTAAACAAAAACGAAACATTTATTTGTTTAACTATATAATTTTGCAGGTGGTATTGTTGCAGTAATGTACACGGACACACTGCAAACAGTAATAATCTCAATAGGGGCCTGTGTTCTCACATACAGAGGTAAGTCACATATGATTATTGTATGGGCAATATGTACAGTCTCAGCTAACCAATATGTCTAAAATTGCTGTACAGATGTTATTATATTATAAAAATATATCAGCAACCTGTACCTAATTATATCGATATAGTTGTTTCGGAATTTCTAAATGAAAATACACGTGTTAACAAAATCATAAATATATAATTGATTTGCTGACTTCATTTTACTACATATATTCAACCCGAATCTGAAATTTTCTTTTTGTCTGCTTAATATGCATGTAGTTCCTGTAATTCAAATATCTTGTTTCAGGCTTCCAAGAAATCCACGGCTTCGATGGCTTAGAAGAAGGGTTTGTGACCGCAGTCTCCAATACAACAAAGACTAATGTCACCCACTACAGCTGTGGTCTTCCCCCGAAGGACTCTTTGCACATATGGAGAGATCCCGTGCATGGGGATATACCATGGCCAGGTGCTGTCTTTGGTCTTTTAATCATTGGCTCGTGGGTGTGGTGCACTGATCAGGTAAATATACAACGTCAACCCCAGAGAGTAATCAGCCTCGATTATACGCCGAAATAGATTCCACTGAGCGTAAAGTGCAAATTTGCGGTGAACATTATCTGGATGATTAATGACACCAGATGTTTGCGAAAAGAGTAAGCTTGTCCTGCCCTAAGAGTAGCATCCGTCACCCACGAAATTTGAATGAGAAACTAAGTGTTTAATTTTTTCCTGACGCCGCACAGCAGTACATTGCCACGCGATTGCGGTCTGAAAACAAAACAATCAAAAGATGAACCTGACATAAAATCCAGTGACACGACAGCGCATTTACTGATTTTGTTGAAACTATAAACGATATATTAATTTTGAATTACGGCGGTTGCGTACAAGTGCGGAGATTCCGCTGGTTATAGGTAAAGAAAAAACGTTTAAAAACATGTTTTTTTTATGGGGGGCAGTGGGCAGCTTTCAAAAGGTTTTTTATGCTAGACACGTGGAGGACATTTCCGAATTTGACGCATAAGTGACAACAATTTTGTCCTATGCAATTCCCTATTTTGACTTGTACCATATTTTCCCGTGTATTTCAGGTGAACAAATGTTTGTTTTGTATTGTTTATTTAACACCGCATTTGGCAATGCTCCAGCTCTTTTAAGGCAGTCTGTAAATAATCGAGTCTGGACCAGACAATCCAGTGATTGACATCATGAGCATCGATCCCCGGATTGGGAAACGATGACGTGCATCACCTTAGTCAGCGAGCCTGACCACCCGATCCCGTAAGAGGCCTCTTACGACAAGCATAGTCGCCTGTTATTGCAAGCATTGGTTGCTGAAGACCTATTCTACCCCGGATCGTCTTCATCATGCAAAACCATTTCAATAATCATATGTTCATAAATCTCAGTTTGCTACATCAAAGTCCGCGAAAAGGTGTTCGCGAAAAGGTGAGTGGAACCTGTCTCAAACGCTTGTCAAGTGTTCACCTGAACAAGCACGGGGACATATGTATACGTTAAATATTGCTTGACATTAAGGGAAAGTTTACTATCTTGGAGTTCGCTCTTGTCATACAGTCTTGTGGATAATTTATTATCACTCTCAAACTTGATATGAAACCGATGAGGCGGTTTCACTGGTCTCTTATTTCTTGCTCACGTGTGTAAATTAGTGGAAGAGAATTGGCTATTTGACTATTATTGAACGGTCTATTATCTATATACTTGAGTGAGTTGGGTTTAACGCCGCTTTTAACATTATTCCAGTTATATCGCGGCGTGTCAGCTTAATGTGGGACCTCAGACGTTGACCACTTCGGTGAAACCCATGAGCACGGGTATGGTGCCGACAAGCCTGGAAACATAATCGTGGCGAACCTGGATTCAAACCCACAATCATATGTTTCTGGCGTGCCCAAGGGACGCAACTCTTCACAGCGAATCGCGACGCCTTAGACGACAGGGCCTACCGTGCCCCCTACATACTTGAAACTTAATTAACCTCTTGAACTAATAATGTCTTGTTTTGAATTTGCCAATCAGAGCAAAAACTGAGATATTCACAAAGAAAAAGTTAAGCACAACCAAATATATTTCATTATTGTTTGGTCTCAATATTTGTAACAGTCATGAAAGATATAATTACGGGAAGAATTGTGTTTTTTCGAGGTGATTTAATCAGTCATGCGTGACGAAAGCTCACGTGCCATGCATGGTATGCCCATGCAGCATCCCACCCTCGCGTATCTCTAAAAGCAGTATATCCAAACGTTAAATTGCTTGCTTAAGCTCGGTTTTAAACAGTTTTTCCATGACATCGTATGACCATTGCACGAAGGCTATTATAAAACGCCACAAGATGGCAAATAATCGGCATGCTTCACGCAGGAATGTCTTATAACGCCATTGGTCGGAATTTGGGTTATCATCATACTGTCGTAAGCCGTTTTGTTGAGAAGAAACATCTCAGACCGGCGATGTACAGGACCGTCCCAGATCCGGAAGACCTTCTGTGACGACACATCGCGAAGACAGGGACCTTCTTCGTCTCATAAGCCGAGAACCCTTTTTTAACAAGTACTCGTCTGAAACAGTTGTGGTTGCCCAATCGTCGTTTCAGCACCAGAACCGCCAGGAACCGGCTGAAAACAGCAGGACTGAGGGCTAGACGAGTCATAAAGCGTCTCTTGTTGAGAGATCACCACGAAGCTGCTCGTTTAGCATGGTGTATTGCGCGACGGAACTGGAATCTGAGAACTTGGAGACGAATCCATTGGTCAGACGAAAGTCACATGAAACATCAAACGTAACTCGTTTACCTAATCCTGCAGCTCCATACTTTTTTTTAGGTATTGTCTAAGGTCAAAAACAGTACCTGTGTTACCATGATGTTTTTGTCAGTAAATTTCAATCACAACGCACCAATATCTTCACTATTTGTTGTCAAATGTTTGTTCTATCCGATGACATTGGTATCGCCCAGCTCCTGTGGTCAGTCATCCCATGCCATGATTTTTGCCATTTGTCATGGTTCAGAAATAGGGGTGTGCTTAACTTCTTTCTTTGTGTATATATGAAGATGCATAAAATGACAGATGAGCAAGTTGGAAAGCACAATTGGGCTCGTTGGGGACACCTACTTCTTGTCTAAATGTGCAATCTCAAAACTTTCGACGTTGATGGTATCAACAAGGAATACCAGTATTTCACATATTAATTTCTCAGTGAACTGCAGATGACATTGCTTTCATTTTCAACAAATTTTCCTGAACCTTTGATAGTGATGTAACAATAGCCACTGTGATGATTTGGTCAGATCATGCAAACTCACGTTCCACGTTAAGAAGTAACGACAAAGAAAACATTTTAGGTTTCCCAATCGTGAACAGTCAACTTTCTACTTTCAGATAGAAACTGGTTTAATTCATGTGTTATTCACAACCCTTAAGTAATTGATGTATTCATTACAGTTGATGGTGCAGCGAACTCTCGCTGCTAAGAACATCAGTCATGCTAAAGGTGGATCCCTGTTAGCCGGTGCCCTGAAGATATTACCCTTCTTCCTCTGGATCATTCCAGGGATGATTAGTCGGATCCTCTACCCAGGTACATACACGCACGCACGCACGCACGCACGCACGCACACACACACACACACACGCACACACACACACGCACACACACACACACACACACACACATACAGACAAACATACATACGTTGGCGGAAGTGCTATCATTTATACAGGTTACCTATGTCAACGTGTGGGTATTATTGTTGTGTTGACCCGTAGGGATCCCTTCTAGAATAGGTCTTCATGTCGTAAGGTCATGCTTGTCGTAAGAGGCTACTAAATCGGGTGGTGAGTATCGCCGTCTTGGTTGATGCATGCCAACTGCGTGGGAACCTTGAAGATCCGGGGTAAAATACATTTTCAGCAACCCATGCTTGTCGCTAGAGGCGACTAACGGGGTCAGGTGGTCACACTCGCTGACTTGGTTGATACATGTCATCGTATCCAAATTGCGTGGATGCTCATGATGTCAATCACAGGATTGTTTGGTCCAGGCTGGATTATTTTCAGACCGCCTTCATATAGCTGGAACATTGCTGAATGCAGCGTTAAACAACAAAGTTTGACACATTATTGATGTGTTAATGTTGTTAAATTGTATCATTTATGTCTTATGTGAGATTACACTTTGGTATATTTCATGAAATAAGAACATAAAATGCAATCATGATAATGTTTCTTTCAGATGAAATCGCATGTTCTTCACCTGAACGATGTTATGAAGTATGTCAGAATGAAGCTGGATGTACAAACATCGCCTATCCCATCCTGGTGTTGAGGCTTTTACCGGAAGGTATATATGTTTATCTTATCAATATCTCGTTCACCGGTAAATATTCTTTCACTGAATGTTGAACCACGTCATAAAAAAATAAAAAATAAAAAATAAAAAATAATTTATTTATTTATTTTTAAAATTTTTTGGCCCAAACCATCTTTTCATTGCATAGATTATGAAATCATTTAAATCTATCCTACATCATTCGTATTGTTTGTTGGAAACCAAAATGTAAGAAGAAAGTCTTTATTGAGACAAAGCAACATTATTTCAACATGCATTTACAAATATAAGTGGTCAGGCTCGTTGACTTGGTTGATGCGTGTCATCGATCCCAATTGCGTGGATCAATGCTGATGATATCTATCACTGGATTGTCTGGTCCAGACTCGATTATTTACAGACCGCTGAGTGCGGAGTTAAACAACAAACCAACCAACCAACTACAAACATAATTTCTCTATGGCAGTTGGTTATGACTCCTATCTCACTTCTCCTATACCTGCAATATTCTCATAATCATCTTCTTGTAGGTCTCCGGGGTCTGATGCTTGCTGCTTTGCTTGCTGCCCTCATGAGCTCCCTGACCTCCATCTTCAACAGTGCAAGTAGCATGTTCACTATGGACATCTGGCCTCTGATCAGAAAGAAACCATCGGAAAATGAACTGATGATAGTTGGACGAGTAGCAGTGCTCGCCTGTACAGCAATTGGCATACTGTGGTTACCAGTGTTACAATATGCCCAAGGAGGGCAACTGTGGGGATACTTGCAATCTGTAACCGCCTACACTGCCCCTCCTTGGACAACGCTGTTTATGTTTGCTCTTCTGTGGAAACGGACATCTGAACAGGTTAGCAAGTGGTTTCTTTCGTATCTAACATCTGAACAGGTGGAGTAATTGAAAAATCTTAAATTACCTGTGGTTACTGGCGTCTTTGTTATTCGACCTTTTGTCTACTTAAGAAATAAACGACGAGGGGTTTGGGGGTGGGGTGGGGTGTTATAGGTCAAATAAACATTTGTTGATCTCCCTGTTGTGTTTTATTGTACGATGAACAACGATCACGAGCCGTTTATTTCTTACATGCGATATCAACATATTTTACAGCCTCTTTAGGGATGTTATAAGGTGAGGTGAGGTTTAACGTCGCGTCCAAGATTATTGCACTTATATAGCGACGTGCATGCACGTGTATGTGTGTGTGTGTGGCTGCTTGTACTAGTCCGGACTGATGCCGATTTATAGTGCTAGCTCACTGAGATACCATGCCGCAGTTTAACATGAATACCTTACTCAGACACAGTATACTGACTCCGAGCCGACCAGTCCTTGTTTTAGCCCCTTAATGCCGAGCGCCAGACAGGGTAACAACAAGTACAATCTTTTAACGTCTTTTTATATGACGCGGCCCGGGATCGAACCCTGGACCTTCCGCTCTCCGGGCGGACGCTCTACCACAAGACCACGGAGGCGGTCAGGGATGTTATAAATATTTACAAGTTTAAAAATATTTACCCGTATTTAAATAATGATGACTCTCAGAAAACAATCCCATGTCGGACGAGTCCATGTTATGAAAACGGGGGTTAAGTTAGATTATATCCAGAATATTCTCAAAACAACACCATACTGTGAAACACGAGCGCGTGAAGACGTTTAGAAAATAGTGACATGTGTAACATTACTAACAGTACTAAGCGGAACATCTTACTGCCACAGAATATTAGCATCGTCCACTTTACGACGTCATAATATTGCGAGCGTATGAAATGACGTCATGATAGAACCTCGTTCTTCATTGTTTCTTTGCGATTTCTCGCTTAGCTAAATTATATCCTAATAATTGATGTTCCTTTCTGAAACCTGTATGTACATGTACAATCAATCGAAACTTGTGGAAGCCAAGGCTTGAATCGACACATTGATGAAGAGATTAATATGCAGATGTTTGTTAATGTTTCATTGTAGGGAGCCTTCTGGGGTTTGATCGCGGGGCTGGTTGTTGGAATAATCCGCATGGTCGTGGACTTCACATACCCAGCCCCTTACTGTGGCAGTGGAGAGGAAGACACTCGCCCGGGAGTTTTGAAGCATGTGCATTTTCTCTACTTCTCCATGATCTCGGCTACTGTCACCTCTATTGTCATCGTCCTTGTCAGCCTGTGTACAGATCCCAGAACAGAAGCTCAGGTAAGGCTTGAAAACGATCGACAATCATTGAATATGAACGTGTTTGCCTGAGAGGAAGCTTCATATAAGTTCGTTAATAAATATAATTGTGAAATTTTTGTGTGTGTGTGTGTGTGTGTGTGTGTGTGTGTGTGTGTGTGTGTGTGTGTGTGTGTGTGTGTGTGTGTGTGTGTTTATAGTAAGAGCCCACTGAGTTTGTGTATTTGTTGTTTAACGACAATCCAGTGCTAAATATACTGACTCCCAGCCGACAAGTGCTTGTTTTAGAACCTTGATGCCGAGTGCCAGGCAGGGTAACAACTAGTACTATCTTTAGGTGTCTTACGGTATGACGCAACCGTAGCGGGCCGTGGACCTTCCACCCTGCGGTTAGTTGCTCGATCAACTAAACTATGGAGACGGTCGGAGATAAAGGAAACTGAAGCCCTTAGTGTCGGAAGATAGTTAACGCCCAACATCAAGTATCAAAGGGTTTAAATATAGGAGAAAAGACATGTACTAAGATGTGATTTATGAAGAGTCTTGCCAGAAGATTGATTTATCGATTGATTGCATGTTGTTTAACGCCACACTTAGCAATATTCAAGCCATAAGACGTTAACCTGTAAATAATCGAATCTGGACAAGACAGTCTAGTATTGCAATCATGGGCATCGATCCACGCATTTTGGATACGATGATATGTAATTAAGCTTAAGCATTTAATTTGGCGCCCGTCATATGTAGCTGGGGACATACATTCTTTTCACGCTATTTATGACTTGTGGATGGGAACAAATGCAAGTGTACAGTGTAGGCTGAAAACGTTCAAACTAGAACATTTGAGAACAATTTTCACCCATTATTGCAGTGCACATTATACTAACACGATCCTGATTGAACACAATTCTCTCTGAATATGGACTCGTGAAGATCCGGGTTAGAATAGGTCTTCAGCAACCCATGCTTGCCGTAACAGGCGACTATGCTTGTCGTAAGAGGCGACTAAAGGGATCGGGTGGTCAGGCTCGCTGACTTGTTTGAAGCATGTCATCGTATCCCAATTGCGTGGATCGATGCTGATGGTGTCAATCACTGGATTGTCTTGTTCAGACTCGATTATTTATACAGACCGCCGACATAAAACTAAAATGTTGCTGAGTGCGGCGTTAAACAAAAAACAACAACCCAAAACAAACAAAACTCTATAAATGTGGCACATTTTAATCAACATGACTGTGTGTAGCTTGGCCGCACTACTTGGTGGACACGTCATCATGCTGCTCCTGACTTGGAACTAGAGGAGGGGAGCGATGACGCCGACGGGAACAGGACAGAAGACAATGGAGACACGGATGACAGTGAGGAGGGAAGGGACGATGGCAAGGTCGGAGAATGTGCATTTAGTACAGGGAACATAACACAACCCACTGACATACAGAGCGAGGTTGACGATGATGTTGCAGTGCAGAGCTACGAAGGGAAAAGTAAGGATCGTGTTATCACGTAGAAACACTATTTCGTGCCAAAAGTATTAAATCATCTTCCCTGTTTACTTCTTTTCATATTTGTGTCAAATAATAATACAATTCAAGGAAATCCTGAATAATAATTGGAATCTGAATTGATGGTCTTTGTTAATTGGTTTGTTGTTTTACGCCGCACTCAGCAATATTCCAGCTATATGACGGCGGTCTGTAAATAATCGAGTCTGGAACAGACAATCCAGTGATTGATATCATGAGCATGATGGTCTTTGTAAATTATGCAATGATAATAGTCAGCAACAAATACATGTAGATTTCTACTAGATTGCCTCCTTTCCGTGTATTACTTACCATATTCAAAAGGTGAATGACGAAATGTAAATAATTGAAATATTATTATTACTACGATTATGTATCCTTGTATCGTTCCATACTAGTTTTAAATACACCTCTGTATTACTCTAGTTGTTTAAGCGTCCATTGTCGACAGGTTTTATAGAGACTAAATATATTATTATTAATGCATAACTTGCTCAAGTCACTGTATGGCTGACAAATTGCCGATGTGACTTTAAATACTAACTCACTCGCTCCCTTCTACAGAGTATCTATAGTAACCCTGCCATGATAGTCCTGGACTACACGTGATATGAAACATTGATGTCTAACCTGTATCCCCATCTTACAGGTGATATGTCAGAAACATTGATGTCTAACCTGTATCCCCATCTTACAGGTGATATGTCAGAAACATTGATGTCTAACCTGTATCCCCATCTTACAGGTGATATGTCAGAAACATTGATGTCTAACCTGTATCCCCATCTTACAGGTGATATGTCAGAAACATTGATGTCTAACCTGTATCCCCATCTTACAGGTGATATGTCAGAAACATTGATGTCTAACCTGTATCCCCATCTTACAGGTGATATGTCAGAAACATTGATGTCTAACCTGTATCCCCATCTTACAGGTGATATGTCAGAAACATTGATGTCTAACCTGTATCCCCATCTTACAGGGACAAACATGGACGCGTACAAACACATAGGTATGTGGATGTGTGGGATGACACAAAGACGGCCCCAGAGACTTTCGTCAACTGAACGATCTGCCATTCAGAAGCGGTTCACCAGTTTGGAAGAAGATAAATCAACAAAATCAGCTTTGAATATAATCGCAATTGGACTGTTAATGATGACTGTTTTCCTTTGTGGTTATTTCAGTTAAATCTCACTATTTTTAACTCAACCTTCATAAAGTTCTTTTAACAATCACGCCTGCACTGTATAAAGACATGAGGTTATCTGCTCATGAATTGATTATGTACACTGATTGCAACCCGTTCACGTCGAGCTCATTGGGAGATTATTGTGCAATAAAATATATACGCTGATCTTGTTAACTCACTTTTGTCAGAAAAACATATAGCAGATATGTCATTGCTGCATGATGGTTCAGTAAATATTAAATTATACTGGAGCACGGGTGGCACAGATCTACGCGTCTAAGGCGCCGTAACTTGCATTTGTTGCGTTCCCAAGGCACGCTAGAAACTTTAAATCGGTTCGAATCCCGCTTTGTCCCGTTTATGTTTCTTGGTTTGTCAGCACCATACCCATGCTCGACGTACATCACTTAGGTCTTTCCTCCGAAAATAAGCTGACACGCAGTGATATAACTGGAATACTGTTCCAATCGGCGTTAACCCGAAGTCACTCAAATTGCATTACTCAGTAATAGGTTGGTTGGTTTGTTGTTTTACGCCGCACTTAGCAATATTCCAGCTATATCACGTCGGTCTGTAAATAATCGAGTCTTGACCAGACAATCCAGTGATTGATATCATGAGCATCGGTCCACGCAATTGGGACCGATGACATGCATAAACCAGGTCAGCGAGCCTGACCACCCGATCCCGTTAGTCGCCTTTTACGACAAGCATAGTCACCTTTTACGGCAAGCATGGGTTGCTGAAGACCTATTCTACACCGGAATCTTCACGGGTCTTTTGGAAAATGAATCAAGGTTTAAATGATCTGAATAATGGGGGACACATTCAGTTGGCCAGAGTGACCAGCTTCCAATGAAATGATGTGGGTTAGTTTCTGTTCTTCGATGTGGAGTCTCTTTTGTCAACTTCTAGAAGCTCCTCTTGGACCTTCAGTTTCTCCCTCTCCCCAGCTAACACACTACGTTGTCACCACGTTGTGACAACATAAATGGGAGTCCTCAGAATAACGTTGTATGGACGTAGTACCATAACGTTACCACAACGTTGTCACAAGGTGAGTGTTGTAGCTGGGTCCTGACCAAATTTCTTGATTTGTATATAATACTTTGGTTATTTTTTAATACATTCAGTCGCTGACCTATAATATGAACCGATTTGAAACCTTGATATACTCGTATATAGCCACATGCATGCATGACTTTTCACGTTCAACAGTTTCATCTCTCTATACTTGCATGACACAGCATATATTAACGCCTATACATGTCGAAGTGCAATGCAGTGCATGTGTTATGCGTATTTCATGCAGATATATTATTTGCTTGTATATATAAAATCATATAATCATATACAACAGTGTCTATAAACATCATATTTCGGATCCGATTTCAAATATGGCCGCCAAATGAAGCAGACATACATACTTATATGTATAAAGTAGCATTATATGCCAGTATTATGCCCATAATACACATTCAATTATCATCGTAAAGTCTGATGTCAAGTTTGCATTAATGCTTACATGGCAAATATGTAAAATGTAGCTCTATATATTTTGTTTTCAAAAGTGGCCGCCAAATCACATAAGCAGTCAAATATTGAAAATAGCACTATATACCAATATTCAACCATATATACCCATCTATGTACCATTGTTAAGAGTGAGTGAGTTTGGTTTAACGCCGCTTTTAACGGTATTCCAGTTATATCGCAGCGTGTCAGCTAAATGTGGGAGGAAAGCCCGAACTGATGCAGGTCTCAGACGTTTACCACTTCGGTGAAACCCACGAGCACGGGTATGGTGCTGACAAACCTAGGAACATAATTGGGGCGAACCGCTATTCGAACCCACAATCATAGGTTTCTGGCGTGCCCAAGGGACGCAACTCTGCACAGCGAATCGCGGCGCCTTAGTCGACTGGGCCACCCGTGCCCAGTTTGTAGATACATGACAACAAATGCAGTATATTTTGCATACACACCTTAATTCAACCACATTTTGAAAAATAAAACATAAATAATAACATATATAAATGCGCAAATATGTACACCAGTTTCGTAATTGGCTCTATTTTCTGTTTCAAATTCATACAGTGCCACAGAAACAAGACTGTTATTAAACAAAACATGTACAATAAACAGTGTCTCTCCGGGAGTTACACTCAGGTGACGGATTCCGACAAATGACGCTATTCATGGTCACGTGATGGCAATTAGAGCAGCCTGTCGCGTCAAGTGGTTAATTATATATTAATGACGCTGTGCTTCACATACTCGGTTATTTATTCATTTATAATGTCAACACGTCACAATACACAAATTGTATGGTATTATTTCATCAGAGTAGTTGATAATATGACAATATATACAACTGGTTGAAGGATAGGTCTCGGCATCGGCGCGTAACATTGAATCAATTCGCGTGTATTTTTCTAGCGAATAAAGAAAAACGTTTTTCAAATTTCCTCGTCATCTGAAACAGACTTTGTTATCCATGCTTGACAACTGGCATTGTATCAAAGGGCCGCGGTAAAGGTGTGCCCAGTTGTGCCTGATGGTGCGCTTGGTGGGATAGAAAAAAATAAAATAAAAGGCCCTATACATCCCAACTCACATTTGAAAAAACAATGTGCCCGAGAATTATCTTTTTTTCAGCAGCCTTGTGTCCAACACTATGACTACGGAAACTGTTAAGGGGATACTATGCTCTGACAAATTTGCAGTACTAGCAAGTTTGTTTGTCCTTAAGTTCAAATTCAACCTGTTAAACTGTTAATGGTTCCCCTTATTACACGCAACCAATGTCTGAGTTTCACACAGAGCACTTATTATTTACCCTGCTGTGGGGATTCCGGCTTACAATAAGTCCCCAATTTCCTATGCTGGTCTTAAGAGGTGACTCAATGGATCGGATGGTCAGTCTCTGTGATAATGTTGATGGCGTGTTAACGTAGCGTGTTGCTCTTCATGTCAAACAACGGATGGTCTGATCCTGACCGGAGTTTGTTTGTTTGTTTGTTTGTTTGTTGTTTAACGCCGCACTCAGCAATATTCCAGCTATATGACGGCGGTCTGTAAAACAATCGAGCCTGGACCAGACAATCCAGTGATTGACATCATGAGCATCGATCCACGCAATTGGGACCGATGACATGTATCAACCAAGTCAGCGAGCCTGACCACCCGATCCTGTCAGTCGCCTCTTACGAAAAGCATAGTCGCCTTTTACGGCAAGTATGGGTTGCTGAAGACAGCAACAGTACGAGGGCTGCTCAAAATCTTCTAAGCCTGACTGACTTCCACTACATAGAAATTGAATTTTTCAAGATCAGTGAAGAAAGTTATGGCCACTGTATTCTGGGATGCAAAGGTTGTGTTCCTTGTTGATGAGTTAGAAAGTCAAAAGGCGATTACCATTGCCTGCTTTGCTGATTTGCTTTATCGATTTTTTTTTTCAGGGTGCCTTCAGAAAATATCTTGCCAACTGGAATTGAAAAGCTTCACTATCGATATGCGAAGTGTATTGAAAAGCGGGGAGATTTTGTTGAAACAAAAACCCCAAACTTTCCCAATTGTTGGCTTTTTGACCAGTTACAGTACAGTAGCATTCTCGAATCCAGCGCTGATTTTGCACTGGCCTTGACACAAAGTTTTACAACAATCACATCACCAACACTTCACGACCTAACTGCCATTGTTGCAAACATGTGGATGTAACACTGTAAATCTAGGTATGTACTGCTTTTCTTTCACTATCCTACGCGGGACAGTCGGGTAGCCTCGTGGTTAACGCGTTCGCTTGTCACGCCTAAGACCCGGGCTCGATTACCGACATGCGAACAATGTGTGAAGCCCATTTCTGGTGTCCCCCGCCGTGATATTGCTGGAATATTGCTAAAAGCGGCGTAAAACCACACTCACTCACTACTCTACACTAATTACTTGATACAAGAACCTCCTACCTTATAAAAGTCTGGTGCTGTAGAACATCAGCCCTCACCTGTTTACACGCACCATTCAACATCAAGTGCACAATGAAGGATATTGTAGCCGTCGTTATTCAGTGTTATATTTCGATGAAAACAATGTGTAATTTGTAGTCAATCGGAGAATTACATGTTTTAAATCTTACAATGAACAATTGCCTATTATTGTCAGATTACTGCCCAGAAATGACATACAAACAATTGATGATAAACGATCAGGGGGTGCGGTAACTGCCGCCAAGCAGCATGTAGATACTCATTTTGCGACATTTGCACATTTGCGATCATAAAATCAAATCGTAGCTGTTATGCAGATTCAAGGATGCACATGGAAGTTTCATTTTTAATATTTATTTCGATGTGATTGTAGTAATTTAACTTCAAATCGCACCTTTTTCGCAGTGCAAGATTTAGGTGTGAGCATGACCACATGAATGACAAAACCTCTAACATCATATACCATGTTTTGTAACAGCTGTGGAGTCACATAATGATTTATGTTAGTGCAGATACAAGCACATGTTGGAGGTACGGGCGCGAGGTTTCGACGGATTGTCGTAACTGGTTATTTTCTGGTGCTTGCGTTTGATGTTATGTTCAATCGCTGAAGCGGACAGATTTCTTTAAACACTGGCAATGTGGGACATATTATCTTTTCCTTTGAAATATCATTCCGTCAATCAGATGGATGATGTGGAGCATGACGACCTTGACGAGAAAGTTCTTTCATCAATGGTTAGTATAATAGGTCATAGACATATTTGTTTTCTCTGACAGGAGGAGACAAACAATTATTTTGGGGACATCAAGTGAACAATATTTCTTTATATTTATATTTCTTTATCACAGAAGTGGTTATCCTTTACAATGTAAAAGAGTGACGGTAAAATTAGGGAACAAAACGTGACCATTTTAACTAAACCGATGAACTAAAAAAAGATATGCTATATATCAAAAACACATATCAAAAGAAATATTAGCCAGGCCTGTGTGTTTGTCTTTCAGCAATATGTCAGCAGTAATTTGTTCAGAATATAACACATTGACTAACATTGACTAATAACCCGTGAAGATTCCGGGTTAGAATAGGTCTTCAGCAACCCATGCTTCCCGTAAAAGGTGACTATGCTTGTCGTAAAAGGCGACTAACGGGATCGGGTGGTCAGGCTCGCTGACTTGGTTGATGCATGTCATTGATCCCAATTGCGTGGATCGATGCTCATGATATTAATCACTGGATTGTTTTGTCCAGACTCGATTATTTACAGACCGCCTTCATATAGCTGGAATATTGCTGAGTGCGGCGTTAAACAACAAACCAACCAACCAAATAACCACTGACTTACAACAAGTATGTCTCATTATTTTCGATACATGACTTACGTTCAATGATGCAATCCCTATTTTGACTTGTTCCATGTCCCCGTGTTGATCAGGTGAACAATTGACTTCCTGATAGGCGGGTGCCTGATAGGCCTGGTATCAACAATGATATAGTCGGAATCGTAAAGTCCACTGTTTTTGGCAGAAATGTTTTAAAAATGAGTATGGAAAGGGTTTTGTTGTTTTTATTTACATTCATAGTGACCTCTAGTTGTAAACTGTGGCATACGACTACCAGCAGCCCAGCACAGAATTCTAGTCTCAATAATATGAATGTATGCTTGACGTTAAGGAATTAATTGTTTTCACATCTGGTTTTATTATCAATGTATATATATTATTGATTAGACTTAAGTGTGCCAACGTGTGTAGAGCGGTATATGCTTCATTTAATATCAGGGGGCACGGGTGGCCCAGTCGTCTAAGGCGCCGCGATTCGCTAAGCAGAGTTGCGTCCCTTCGGCACGCCAGAAATCTATGATTGTTGGTTCGAATCCATGTTCGCCCCAATTATGTTTCTAGGTTTGTCAACACCATACCCGTGCTCGTGGGTTTCACCGAAGTGGTAAACGTCTGAGACCTGCATCACTTCGGGCTTTCCTCCCACATTAAGCTGACACGCCGCGATATAACTGGAATACTGTTAACCCTCTAGTAACCAGAACTATTTCTAGTTGTCCAGAAATTCTTAAAATCCAAATTTGACACACTTGTGGTCAAACTAAGACAGAGATGTGTCGATTTCCACTGTTTGTTCAATTGTTTACAAAATTGTGTTTGTATCACCTGTGATACGATGGGTATTAGTGCTTTTGGTTTGCCATGTATCACCTGTGATACGTACTGGAACTCAGCACTCATGCCAAACATCTAAATAATAACAACTAAAACATAGATAAGAGATTATTTTGGTTTATTATTCTATCATTTTCTCTTGAATGAACACAACCATTTTTCCTCTAGAAATCTTGAGCCAAATGAAAAATAAATACAGTGAAATAATTGAATGAAATGCAAACTGTATAATCACTTTCAGTGATTAACGACAAATCCTGAAACACTTTGCAGAAGCACAAAGACAGTCTCTGACTGAATCCAAACAGTAACAAAACACATGCAGGTTATTTCTCTTACTGAAACAGGCTCTTTTGATCAATTACAAGGGTCTATTTACAAATGTGGAACTGTGCAAAACAGTTCCTCTCTTTGACAAAGCATGCATACTCTCTGCATTTAGAGCACATCACATATGTGAGGGATGTGCAGTTCCTGTTCTTGCATCGTCCACGTTTGACAGCCCACTCAGGAAGGTGAGACACTTGGTCCAAACGGACTTCTGCAGGCAAGAGACCACGTCTTACTGTGCGTGATGGTGGAGGACTGAAGTCAGTAGCTCGAGGACGGCCAACGGTCTGCTTCCTGGACACCAAACTGCCAGCTATGCGTCCTTGAAATGTACAAAGCTTCATGTGATGAGGGACACCAAGAAGTTTGCTGTGTCTTCGGTAGCGAAGCCATGCATTAACCAATGCAATGTGGAGGGTATGGAACCAGATGTACATGTACCATCTCCTTGATTTGACTCCAGGTTTGTACAGAGATGTCAGAGAATCCATCAGGTCTATTCCTCACATGAATGTGTTATATTCCTGTACTATCTTGGGACAGGTGACCATGATATTCTTCTTATCCTTTCTGTCAAAGCGCTTCACTTCACGCAAAGGTTCCTTTCCAACATAGGATGAAACCAGATCAACTGTGCGGTTGTCATACCACCTCAGTGCAATCAAACCAGTGTTCGAATCTACTTTGGAGTCCATACTTCCACGACCTTCTTTCTTTAGGGTCTTCTGGTCTTTCAGTTCACACCCTTTCAGCCTGTTCATCCTCACTGTTCCAACATAGAGGATTCCTTGCTTGTTCAAAGGGTCCACCAAACCTAGAGAAGTGAAAAGGTTGTCTGCAAAAACCTTGTAGTTTAGACCTTCAGGAATTGTTGATGTCATACATATGACTACCTCACCTGTCATGCCAAGTGGGGAGCGTTCCTTAACATTCATGGCTGCTCCTTGGTACACCTCAAATTGATACAGTATTCCTGAGGCCCCAGCTCTGCCCCACATCTTGAACCCCCACTTGTGAGGTTTGTTCCTCATGTATTGTTTCACCGAGGAACTCCCTTTGAACGGGATCATAACTTCATCCACAGCACTATGTTCTTCTTGTGGGATCTCCTTACATCTCTCTTTCAAGGCCTCCAGCCACGGACGTAGCTTCCAAAGCTTGTCACGCTTATCTTCTTCAGTGATACTTGTGTTATCTGTCATGTGGAGGGAAGAAACAAGTTTCTGAAATCGGTTTCTTGACATGAGATCTGCTACCATTGGATATCTAGTTTCCACAGCCCAATATGCCTGCACTGAATGAGCAACGACCAAACCCATACGGAGATAAATTCCAATTAGAATTGAAATTTCTCTAGAAGTTGTATTGACAGATAAGCCATCTTTCTGTATGGAATAGAGATTGGTTTGATGTGAAAGGTTTTCGATCATTTGATCAGTAATCATTTCGGTAAAATATTCAATTGGTTCTTTGATTCGTCCATCTATCGGAGGTTCTTCAAGACTTCCTTTAAATGTGGGGTCTGGGGGAAAGAATTCTTCATTTTCCCAAAAGGGAGTATCAAGCAACTGTGAAATCAATTTATTTTCTTCTGTTTCCTTTTCCTCCTGTGCTGCTTTGTATCGTTGTCGGAGATGAGCAATTGGAATGTCATCATCGGATTCAGAGTCAGCTGTCTGGTTCCTCCTTATTTCGGCTAAAGGCAGGTTTTCATTGTCTGACGAATCACCAGTCATCAAAGTTAAGGTAGTACATGACTTATGATTCTTTACAGCCTTCCTCTTTTTCTTTGGTGTAACATCAACCTCATCTTCCGACTCACTTTCTGATGTCGGAATGTACTCGCCGGAGGATGTTTCATACTCACTACCACTAAGATCAGCTTCAAGGATATTCTCCATTTTCTGAAGACAAACAGTAATGTAATTGAATTGTGTGTGTCAGTTGATTTGGTAACATCATGAGTTGGGCCTGAAAGTGTCACCACCTAAGCAAATAAATCTAAGATTCTTTAAATATCCAAAATGTATCACTGCTGATACAAAGAAAAATAACATGTCCCATTGTATCACTGGTGATACAGATGTTTTTTATTTGGTTGTATGTCACAAAATTCAATTATTTTCACCAAATAATGACATCTACTTATAAACAAAACTATTCAAGAATCGAAAACAATACTTTATATACACATTTAAGTTACCTTTTCCTGGATGTCGATGGATTGACGTCATACCGTACCCTTTTTGGCACCATGAGCACATGTCAAGAAGACCAAAACAGGAAGTGCCAAGTTAGATATAAAATTAGGACTTCACTACAAAATGAAATATGATCTGAAAATATATCAACTTGTGAAACTACAGAAGGATTTGTTTACATCTCATATGTTTATTCAGCTGACTCAGAAGAATTTAGAATCTGTCTATCACTGGTGATACGCTGGTTACTAGAGGGTTAAAAGCGGCGTTAAACCCAACTCACTCACTCACTCATTTAATATCATCATCCAGTTTGTCAGGCACGCGGATGGTTGTCAGTTGTCAGGCACGAGGATGCTCTAGTACACCGATGGTGTGGATCGTTGTGTATAACATCAATGATCACAGGATTATCTGGTCCAGATACAATTTGTTTTTAAAGAATGTCGTAGTTAGCTGGAATATTGCTGACTGTGGCGATTAGCAATAAACCAAGCAACCAAACATCAACTAAATCATGAAACTGTAACCACTTATTTTAGGTAAATATATATTTCGATTTACAATACATCCAACGCATACTAAAACTTCAAATACTCTTGACATTTTCACACTAACAAACTGTACAGTCTGAAACATTTTCTGGTTATTTTGGTTTGTTTGTTGAATAATGAATTAATTGAAATGGGTGACATAATATAACATGTCAACACCAGCGAATAATCGGTCTTGATTATCTGCCGAAACAGATTCTCATGTCCGTAAAATGGATCACTGTAAATTAGGGATTTCACCAGGTGTTCTTGATACGAATAAGCATGTCCTGCTCTAGCGGTAGCACTCGCCACTCCCACTCAAATTGCATATAAAATAAGTCCTGCGTAAACACTTAACGAAAAATTGGTATGAACGGGTATAACATGTACGGTTTCTCGGCACACCTGACAAGTGAGCAACTGTTGCAGCTTGCCTGTCCGTCGTTCGTCGTGAACATAACCCCTTCAGAAAACCACTGGACCAATGAAGCTAAAACTTCACATCATTGTTTTCACCAATTCTGACACCTGGATCTGTTCAAGGGGTTCAAATACCCGCCGGGTTGGTTGGTTGGTTTGTTGTTTAACGCCACACTCAGCAATATTCCAGCGAAATCTTATTGAAAAAACCTTTCATGGTCATTATGATTATGAAATGGAATGATATATCGTACATGTGCATTTAATATTGATGCTTAACCTCTGTCCTACGTATTTATCGACCCGTGAAGATTCCGGGATAAAATAGGTCTTCAGCAACCCATGCTTGTCGTAAAAGGCGACTACGCTTGTCGTGAAAGGCGACTAACGGGATCGGGTGGTCAGGTTCGCTGACTTGGTTGATACATGTCATCGATCCCAATCGCGTGGATCGATGCTCATCATATTAATCACTGGATTGTCTGGTCCAGACCCGATTATTTAGACCGCCGTCATATGGCTGGAATTTTGTTGAGTGCGGCGTTAAACAACAAACCAACCAATCTCCGTATTTTTCAATGTATGTTACGTTTTCACCATAATTTAATTGTGACCTTTATTAAAGATTTGCACTTGGACCAAACTCGAATCCGATTTTAGATCAGGCCACCTCACCAGCCATATTGAATGATCAAATATTATGCTGTTATTTTCAATAACATAACATTTGCACAACTATGAACTAACTTTTCTTTAAGTATACGTCCTGTCAGTAACTTTCGTTCTTCCTCAAATCAGAGGCATTGCAAACACTAAAGTTAAGACTTGACAACAATAGCCACCCTTAAAGGACTTACTTCATATAATGTTGGTTGGTTGGTTGGTTGGTTTGTTGTTTAACGCCGCACTCAACAATATTCCAGCTATATAAAGGCGGTCTGTAAATAATTGAGTCTGGACCAGACAATCCAGTGATTGATATCATGAGCATCGATCCACGCGATTGGTTTGGTTTGTTGTTTAACGCCGCACTCAGCAATATTCAAGCTATATGACGGCGGTCTGTAAATAATCCAGTCTGGAACAGACAATCCAGTGATTAATATCATGAGCATCGATCCACGCAATTGGGATCGATGACATGCATCAACCAAGTCAGCGAGCCTGACCACCCGATCCCGTTAGTAGCCTTTTACGACAAGCATAGTCACCTTTTACGGGAAGCATGGGTTGCTGAAGACCTATTCTAACCCGGAATCAGGCTCGCTGACTTGGTTGATACATGTCATCGATCCCAATTGCGTAGATCGATGCTCATAATGTCAATCACTGGATTGGTATTGAAAGTGGTATATATCTTAATGGAAAACACCTGCAAAAAGCCTAAATATCTTTTTTGTTTACAATTTATGTTTTCAGAAGAAGATCTGCGATGGCGTCATTGCATTTGTGTTGTGGATTTTGACAGCGTTTATTGCCCATCTTTCTTCAAACACATGTCTACAAGCGGCAATATCAGAAACTAGATTAAGTAAATAATTATCTATATACAATTCTCTTTTCAGGAGAAGATCTGCTATGGCGTCATTACATTTGTGTTGTGGATTTTGACAGCGTTTATTGCCCATCTTTCTTCAAACACATGTCTACAAGCGGCAATATCAGAAACTAGATTAAGTAAATAATTATCTATATACAATTCTCTTTTCAGAAGAAGATCTGCTATGGCGTCATTACATTTGTGTTGTGGAGTTTGACAACGTTTCTTGCCCATCTTTCTTCAAAAACATGTCTACAAACGGCAATATCAGAAACTCCACTGAACAGTGGAATTGCATGGGCGATTATACTAACCACTTGGCAAGCGATTACATGCGTAACCTTTACAGACCTCCAGCTGTTTGACACTCGTGACAGAAGAGCACAGATCGTACATTATGTTAAAATGGTATGCCATGTATTTGCTAATATGGCAACGAATTTCAGCTTTACGTCGATATATGCCTCATCAACGTTTACGATTAAATTACTCGAACCAATCATAAGTGCCATCATACAACGTGCTGTGTTTGGAAGACGTCTTTCATGTTGTGGAATACTTAGTCTTCCCCTCGTGATTGGGGGCGCTGTGATGTTCTGTGGTACATCAATCTTCTCGTCAGTATCTATCGTCGGTGCGTGTGTAGCATTTTCTTCAAATGTAATGGTAGCAATGAGAAATATTGCCATAAAGCTAGAACATGATGATAACTCCCCGTTGACGGCAACATTGAGATCCAGATATGTTATTTTGACAGCAACAGTTCTTATTATTCTAAACCTTGGACTGCTGACATATCTTGCTCTCAAAGGAGTCTTTGCAGATTATGTTTTATTTGTAATAGCAACAGGAACCTCAAGTAGTGTATTCTTCTTCGTATGTACGTACATCTCCACCAACGTCGTCCTCACATATATGTCTGTTGTGAGCCATGCTATTGGAAACATTTTCAAGAGGTTAATAGTCATCGTATTATTGTGTTTGCTTGAGGAAAGGTCGTTAACGTTAATGAACGTTTGTGGTTTGGGAATATGCTCGTTTGGTATATTTCTTTACGTTTGGGGAAATCGGAGTTCTCAATCCAGCTCAAATGCATGAGTTGGGACTTGACTATGCTTTGAACCGTATCTAAGTTATATATGCTAACTCAAAACAATTGGAAAAATACCCGATTCTTTAATATGCATATGAAAGAATCTGGTATTCATATACTCGATCAGCGGATTCTAGTAGGACGCAATACTGCACAACGACTTCTGGGACCGTTATATCGTAAATTAAAAAGATATTGGGGATCGACCATTTCTGTTTATCTGTGGGTGGGGCAGGTCGGATTTTATATCGAGATTTGATATTTGTTCAGCTAAAGCGACAAAACGAGATATGTGTTTATTTAAAACTATGAGCCTGAATATTCTTTGTACCTTGTCTTTTTTGTGGAAGGCATTTTTTTCACGATATGAAGGATGATCATATTTTTCCAGATTTCTTTCCGCGACAATTCCATTTTTTCGATTAAATTTCAGGTCCGCCCAAAATATCAAATTGCTTGTCCCTTGTTAGTTCTCGAGGGGTCAGAGTGTCATTTTCTCCGTGTGCGAGTCCATGTAAGCTCCTACACAGGCTACAGTATCAGCCAGACCAAACAAGACATAATCAAGACATAATCAAGACATAACAAGACATAATCAAGACATAATCAAGACATAATCAAGACATAATCAAGATGTCACCAAATAAGGGTAAAAGGAATTAAAGTGAAACTGCATGTTACTTGCTCTTGAATGTTGTTAGATGTTTAAACTTGCCATATGTTCCCAAAATGGGAAATCAAATAACTAAATATTAACCCTTGAGCTAGATTGGGAAACATATGATTTTCCGTACATATATGGTAGACTCACACATGTCACAAAAAGCATGGATCTTAGCTTTGTCAACATGTTTTTCAGGTGATCAACTGACTTGTTTTTGCATGTGTTTGTGGCGGGTGCCACCGGTCGGACAGGATACGCTCACCTTTGCCAACACCTGGTATCATCTCCCTTTTGACCTGTGAAGATGCCGGGGTAGAATAGGTCTTCAGCAACCAATGCTTGCCGTAAAAGGTGACTATGCTTGTCGTAAAAGGCGACTAACGGGATCGGGTGGTCAGGCTCGCTGACTTGGTTGATGCATGTCATCGATCCCAATTGCGTGGATCG